CTTGCCGAGCTGTCCATCTACAGCTCTATATATGTATTGTACAGTGCCTCCTTTTAATTAAGTCAGGAATATAATATTTTAGCTTTCTCTCTCTGCTCTTCTCGTCTTTTCTTCGATTCTCTCTGATGGTATCAAAGCAGATGGTGGCTGTGTGGGTACAAAAGTGGGGTCAAAACGATGCCAGCATGAGTGAACCTCATGTCCAATTTTATAACATAGTTGGCACTGCAAAATACTTCTTCCACGTCCTCTGCCTCTGTTTCCCCTTCCATTAGAGCGGCCTCTACCATGTCCAGCTAAATCAGATGCCCCCCTAAATATTGGGAGGCGTTGCTGCATGCTCTGTTCTGAAGACTGAAAAACAGGGGCAAACAGAGACTGGTTTGGGGCTGTGTTAGAGGGTTTAGAAGGAACAGATGCAGTAGGGTGTATTTTGGGTAATGAGTTGCATTAACAAATATTGAATCACTAAGCAAGGACTCTTGATGTTTAAGGAACCTAGACTCTTAAAACAGCAGCTCAACCCTCTGTTCTTGTTACTTCTATGGAGCCTACATCTGTTAAACAAGCTTTGGCCAGTCCTAAGTGGCTTGAGGCTATGCAAAATGAGCTTACTGCCTTACATGCCAATGCTACTTGGTCCCTAGTGTCTCTACCCCCTGGTAGAAAAGCAATAGGATGTAAATGGGTTTTTCTTATTAAAGAAAACCCAGATGGTTCTGTAAATAAATACAAAGCTCGTTTAGTAGCAAAGGGCTTTCATCAACAGCCTGGATTTGATTATGGTGAAACATTTTCTCCTGTTATAAAACCTATAACTGTCCGCATCATACTAACTCTTGCTCTTTCCTTTGGCTGGACTCTTAGGCAACTTGATGTAAATAATGCATTTCTCAATTGTGTTTTAGAGGAAGAGGTGTATATGCAACAACCTGGCTTTGAATCACATGACAAGACTGCTGTTTGTAGACTTCACAAAGCTCTCTATGGTCTTAAACAAGCACCACGGGCCTGGTTTGACAAACTTAAGGAGACTCTCTTCCAATTGGGGTTCAAGACCAGCTGGTGTGATCCTTCTCTATTTATTATTCGCACCACATCTCACTGCATTTATATTCTGGTTTATGTGGATGATGTCATTGTCACCGGTAATGATGCCAAATTTATTGAACAAATTATCTCCCATCTTCATTCTCGGTTTGCTCTTAGGGATCTTGGTGAGCTTGATTATTTTCGTGGGATTGAAGTTAAACGACTTTCTTCAGGTGCTCTTTTTCTTTCTCAATCAAAATATATTAAAGATCTTTTGGTCAAGACTAATATGGCTGATGCAAAAGGGATATCCACTCCCATGATTGGTGGCTGTAAACTGTCTCGTTATGGTGCTGATTACCACCCAGATTCTTATCAATATAGGTCTGTTGTTGGTGCTTTGCAATATGCAACTTTAACAAGACCAGAAATTAGCTTTGCTGTAAACAAAGCTTGTCAATTCATGAGTCAGCCTCTTGAGGAGCATTGGAAGCTTGTTAAAAGAATTCTTAGATATCTCAATGGAACCATTTCTTTTGGTCTTCTCCTTCATTCTGCTGATCCAGCCACTGCCATGCCTCTAACTTTATTCTGTGATGCAGATTGGGGAAGCGATCCAGATGATCGTAGATCAACATCCGGTGCTTGTATTTTTCTGGGTCCTAATTTGATTTCTTGGTGGTCGAAGAAACAAACTCTTGTAGCTCGTTCAAGTACCGAAGCAGAATACAGAAGTCTTGCCTTAATAGCCCTGAATTAATTTGGATTCAATCATTGTTGTGTGAACTACAAGTCCCTACTCAAGTGCCTCTTGTTTTCTGTGATAATCTAAGTACAGTTGCACTTTCTCATAACCCTGTTCTACACGCTAGAACTAAACATATGGAATTAGATATTTTCTTCCTCCGTGAAAAGGTCCTTGCTAAACAACTTCAAGTATCTTATGTTCCAGCCTATGACCAAATTGCTGACACCTTCACCAAGCCTCTCTCTACTGCCCGCTTTGCTGATATTAGAACCAAACTCATGGTTCTGGATTCCACACAACTCTCTCCACACATATGAGTTTGCAGGGGCATATTAGGGATATTATTGTAATTATATTCTTTGCAATTTTATCTGTTAGAATGGGATGAGCTGTACATATTCTAGAACATTTCTTTTCTTGCTGAGTTGTCCATCTACAGCTCTATATATGTATTGTACAGTGCCACCTTTTAATTAAGTCAGGAATATATTATTTTAGCTTTCTCTCTGCTCTTCTTGTCTTTTCTTCGATTCTCTCTGATCTTCGAACTGGAACAGAGCACTGCAGGGAGGTGCGTGGCTTGCACACACTGTATGGTGGCTGCGCGTAGGACGAACGCTCCGTCCTTTCTCTAGCGCGTTGGGGCGCGTGGCTCAGCAGAATCCGATGGTCCTTCTTGGAACTTGTAGATCGACTCCTTCTGTTTCGAATGGTGTGGGTCTTGGCCGGAAATGTCACCGAAAAAATTGTCCGGCGGCTGCTGACAGCGGTGGAAGGTTGGGATTTTGCCTTCTACAGTGATTGGTAGCCTTACTTTGCTCTTGGGACTTTGTAGGAAGGAAAAACAACCTTAATAATGGTTGGAGGTTGAGTTTTCCGGCGTTGTGCCGCCGGTTTGATGGTGGTTGTGGTGGCTGAGTTTTCTCATAACCAACCTGCTCTTGATACCATATTGTGAGATGTAAGACAAAAGGTTTTCTGATTTGATACTATTTGATTTTCACTGAAAAGGTATATTTATACATGAGAAAATGAGAAAAACGGAAACAAATTCAAATCCCTATTAAAAGGAAAAAAATAAATCTCTAATTAATAGGCTATAAATCAGGGATATAATTGCATCCCAAATAAAAACGGAAAGATTCTAATCTTGATTTTCTACAATATTTATAATTGTTTAAGATGTCAATACCAAAACGCCGTCATTTGGGAATAAATTCAAATAACATATCTACAGTAACTGCAAAAACATTTTTCCCTATATATAATCTAAAAACCTGTTGACGGATAAGTTTTTAACTACAATATAAAGTGCAATAACCTAACTCATTCAAAATTTAATCATTGAGTGAGTTTGTTTGTTGTTTTATTTTTATGCGTTTCTTGTTTTGGTTTCTATACATAATTTAATACTTATATGTAGGATGTGTAATTAGAAAAAATATCATCCAAATTTATTGTCATGTTATGATGGTGTTTTTTTATGACTTAGAAACCTTTATAACTTTTACTCTATGTCTGTTTTTTTATTATTTAATTACATTAGCATTTTTAACTTTTATGTTATATATATACATATATTTCTTTTAAATTTAAAACAAATCTATTATGAAATTATAGATTCAATCAGGTGTGTGTGAATCATCATACATTTTAGATTAATAATGATATCCCAAAACTTTGATGATCAACTAAAATTAATGTGTTTTGCATTTTAATTATACATATAACAAATTTTTTATTTGATAATTAATATTTAATAATGTATAATGTCATTATTAGAAGGCAATTAAGCAGAAGTAGGAATGCTTTAGATCTTTGCATAAAAGTTCCAATGATGAGAAATTGCAAAAATTTAGATTAGTGAGAAAAAATGCAAAGAAAGCAATCCCAGAAGCTAGAAGCAAGGTTTTTTCCGATTTGTATAAAAATCTTGGGAGCAAGGATGGTGAAAAAAGTATATATAAACTTGCAAAAATGCAGGATAAGAAAAGTAAAGACCTCACCCAAGTTAGATGCATCAAGGATGAAATTCAAAAACTTTTAGTCAGAGATAAAGATGTAAACGAAAGATGGATAAGCTACTTTAACAAGCTTTTTACTAGGGATGTAAAAGCAAGGAGGACTTGGAGGACGCTTATGATGATTTGAGTAGAAGATTTGTACACAGAATTAATACATATGAAGTTAATGAGGTTTTAAAGAGGATGGAGACTAATAAAGCTTTGGGACCCGATGGTGTCCCTATTGAAGTGCATTTGGATTTTTGTGTGACCGCAAAATTCCCCTTCAGCTAAAAGGAAAATTCTATAGAATAGTAGTAAGATTTGCAATGTTATATAGTGCTGAATGTTGGCCAGCACATAAGCCACATGAGCAGCAATGAGGATGTTAAGGTTGACGTGTGTTTATACGAGGATGAATACGATAAGAAATAAGGATGAGGGAATATAGATTGAGGTGGTTTGGGCACGTAATGAGAAGACCCTGGATGCTGCCGTAAGAACAAAAGTTTGTTACCAAGATCTCGACACAAAGAGAGGTAGAGGTAGACCAAAACTTACTTAGGGGAAGGTAGTAAAACAAGATTTAATGGAGTTAGATATAGATTGGCGGACGGTGTATCTTAGGACGGAATGGAGAAAAGATATAAGCATGGTAGAGGGTTAGACCCGTTGTTATTCTTATGTTCCAGATAGTTCCTTTTTAGTCCTTTTCCTTTTCATCTCCCCCATTCCTTATTTCCCCCCTTTTTCCTTTTATTTCTTTTCCCCTTCCCCTTCTTATTTCTTTTTTTCCCACCACCTATACCTCTTTTAGTTTTACTTATATATTTATATTTATATATATATATATATTATTTTATTTTTATTTTATCTATTTATTTTTTTACTTTTATTTCTATTCCTTTTCCTCTTTATCTCCCTTTCTTTCTGTCTTTCTTCCTTCTTTTCTCTTATTTCATTTCTTTTCAATCTTTTTGTCTTATTTATTTATTTATTTATGTGTTCTTCTTTTTCATTTTTTTCTCAAACTTTTCGTATCTTTCATTTGGGTTCATCTACCACTGACTTTTTGGGATAAAGGTGTTGTTGATGTTGATGATAATGTCATTAATTAATTTCAAAGAAATTTTTCTCATGTAATGATTAATAATTAGCATTGTCATTAATGATCCTAATGGAAATTTTACTAATATATATTGAATTTTTCTTTTCAGTTCAAATTTAATTCTTATAGTGCTGAAGATGATGACTATAAAGGATATGACTACAGTTTGCAAGGTCAACTCTCAGCTGTTCGCATTGTTTTCCTTTATAGATTTGTGCAAGAGGTATGCTCAAAAACTCGGTAAATTTGGAGTCAGAAATTAAAATTGGCACTTTTCTGCTTCTCATGTTGAAGCACTTTGGCTCTTGAGATATAGTTTCTCGTACTGTTTTGTATAGAATGTTTAATTTCAAATGGTCTCTAGGTTCATGTAGCATTTGACATATTTCTTTTTCTACGTGAAATAAAAATACACACACACATATATATATTACTATATCTTTTGATGTTTTACTTCTCCAGATAATGGTGTACTTTATGGAACTTGCCTCCCCTCATACTGAAGAAGCTATTAAACTTGTTGATAAAGTTGGAGGATTTGAATGGCTGATTCAGAAATATGAAATAGATGGAGCTACTGCTCTCAAGCTGGATCTTGCTCTTGACACTCCAATTATCATTGTTCCTAGGAATTCAATCAGCAAAGAGTTAGTGAATCCTCAAATCTTTTTGTTGAATGCAATAGCAATCTTTTTTTATGATGTACTTGGTATTTTTTAAGACTGTATAGTGTGAAAATCTAAGTATAGTAGGGCAAAAACTGTATTGCACGATCATTCACATAAGTAATTGTCCCCTTGAATTACAGTAAGCGTGATAATATGTGCTTGGGTATGCGTGGTGGTGTATGCTATAGTCCTGACAAATATGAGAGTTTCGGGTGGAAGAAGTGATGCAAGAAAGTTACTTATGTTTCTTTCCTTCCTATGGTTGCTTTTCATTTTGGTTGGATTACACAAATGGAATTTTGGGAGGACTTGTGGGCAGGGGCAGCTTCTTTAATGCACAGTGTTCAAGGGAACATTTGTTAATGGCTTGAGAATTCCTCACAGCCTCATTCATTTTTATATGGGATTTAAATAATTACAGAAAATACAAATCTGATCTAATCTAGTCAAATCAATCCCTAATTAATTACCAAATATACAATCAGATAAATATGAGATGTGTTTCCTTAATTTGAAGATACTATTTAACATGCAGGATAGAGGAAGTCAAAAGATTTGAAAGATCAAAATTGTTTTCTTGGGAGAATTAGGAGTGGTTATTAGGGGTTTGAATATCCATATCAATTTGGTGATGTTATTTTCTGTTTTTTAATAATAGACAGATTCTTTAAAACTTTAATAATAATGTGTTCTTTTAATTACATATTTTAAAGGAAAAAATAGTATTTGTGTGCATAGAGGCAGAAAAAATAGTATTAGTTTACATATTTTAATTACATATTGAGGCAAGTTATATCCCTGTTTTTTCTTAGGGTCTGTCTTTAGATTTCCATCAATCTCCTTTCTCTTTGTTAGAGAATAATATAAATCATTAAAAAAGCCCTCACCCAACACCTTAAAGTTTTGGGTTGAGATGGTTCTTTACATGGTATCAGAGATTCGGTGACCACGAGGTCACAAATTCGATCCTCACCACCCCCCACTTTCGAGTGGAATTAAAATAAGCACAATGTAAAACCAAAAATATTGGGCCTGTGCAATATCCACACTTCAAACCCAAAGGGCTCTTGTGTGAGGCGGTGTGTTAGAGAATAATATAAATCATTAAAATGACCCTCACCCAACACTTTAAGGTTTTGTGTTGAGATGGTTCTTTACACTCTTTACTCTTTCTTTATAATAAAATTTTTAGTGTTTACTATGTTAAGGGCCAACTCTCCTAAATGCTCAGTCCGATAGGTGAATGATCATGAATGGTTTTTAATATTTAATATCTAACATGCACCCTCACATATAAGATTCTTTTGGCTTGAAGCGTAAAAAATACACATAGTTCCTCTTCCTTATGCTAAATTTCAACTTTTATTTAAAAGATTGGGGATGGCAAGGATTGAACCATCACCGCTTAGTCATAGAGACTCTAAGTCCTTGCTACACACAAACTCTCCTAAAAGCTTAAGTTGTTATGAGAAAGATCACGAGTGGCTTTTATATCCTACATTATAAAAATGTCTTAATCTTATTGTTTTTTTGATTTCCAGTTATATACAACTTGATCTGGGCAAGCTACAGATTAAAAATGAATTCAGTTGGCATGGATCTCGAGAAGAAGATCCATCAGCTGTGCATATTGATCTTCTTCATGCTCAGGTACATGTTTCTTGTTATATGGGCTGTCGCAATTAAATCCTTGATATCTTCCTGACTGCAAATGAATTGCAGATTCTGGGTATTAACATGTCTGTTGGAATTGATGGTTGTCTTGGAAAACCAATGATACGGGAAGGTCAAGGACTTGATATATTTGTTCGTCGAAGCTTGAGGGATGTTTTCCGAAAAGTCCCGACATTTTCCCTTGAAGTGAAGGTAACTCCAGACCTTTATGTCTAAGATCCCCCCCCCCCCCCCCCCCCCCCCCTTTTTCTTTTCTCTGTCTCTCTCTCTCTCCCTTTCTTAAAATTGTGTAAAACTGTACCATTATTTCGGGATTCTATATGAACTAATAACCATGGTGAAATATCAAAATCTTCACCGTACTTTTTTACCAAACGGATAGAGTTGGAGGCAAAATTGTTTTTCTTACTTTATCTGGCCTAAGGCTCTGAATTTTATTGAAAAAAGAGGTTTCAAGCTCTGAGCGCATAACCGAGGTTTGTAAGTATCCGACCATAATACATCTGCAAATATGAAAGTCTTGTGAATCTCTTAACCTCACAGCGGTTTCGTATCATAAGTAGTTGTAAATTGATATGCTTTAATTCTTGTATTTCATTCCAGAAAAGACACCAAATTCTTCAGTTAATTTTATGATTTCTTGAGCAGGTGGATCTATTGCATGGTGTAATGTCTGACAAAGAATATAAGGTGATTTTGGATTGTACATACATGAATTTATCAGAACAGCCAAGGCTTCCAGCTAGCTTTCGTGGTGGAAAATCTGGTTCGAAGGATACTATTAGGCTTCTGGTTGATAAGGTTAACCTGAACAGTCAACTTCTGTTGTCACAAACAGTTACAATTATAACTGTTGTGGTGAACCATGCCTTGCTGGAGCTTTGTAATGGCACTGACGGGGAGTCTCCACTGGCTCATATTGCGGTGATTGTTTTTATTTTAAGCATATGATTCAGATATCTGTATGTACACTTGAATTTGTTTGCATGACGTTTCCTCAGTGTTTTGATATTATTTCAACCTCATAAAAAATTTTGCTTTCAGCTTGATATGTCTGATTGGAATGTGCTTGTCTTTCATTCCCATTTACTTTGTGCGTTATTTTTGCAGCTGGAAAGTCTTTGGGTTTCATATCGTATGACTTCTTTGTCAGAGACAGACCTCTTTGTGACAATTCCAAAATTCTCTATACTAGATGTTCGTCCTGATACGAAACCTGAAATGCGTCTGATGCTAGGATCATCTACTGATGCTTCCAAACAAGCAGTTACTGGGAAAGTTCCCTTATCATTTAAACTGGGTAGCTTAAGGAGGACTATGAGTGAAGCTGTAATTGATGATATGCCCATTTCAACAATGTTCTTGATGGACTGCAGGTGGCGGATGTCATCCCAATCATTTGTGATTCGTGTGCAGCAACCACGACTCCTTGTTGTGCCAGATTTTCTTCTTGCTGTGGCTGAGTTTTTTGTGCCTGCTCTGGGAGCACTAACTGGAAGAGAGGAAACAACGGATCCAAAGAATGATCCTATTAGCCGAAACAGTAGCATAGTGTTGATGGAATCAGTTTACATGCAGAAAGATGATGTGGTGCAGCTCTCTCCATCTAAACAGTTAGTGGCAGATTGTGTAGGCATTGATGAATACACATATGATGGTTGTGGAAAGGTTATTTGTTTATCTGTTGAAACAGATGCAAAGGAAGTCCGCAGCACAAGGTTTAGACCAATTATAGTCCTTGGACATGGTAAAAGATTGCGATTTGTTAATGTAAAAATTGAGGTAATATGCTTCCTGTTAATCTGTAAGTTGTTTTCCTATTTCCTGTTTATATTTGAGAGGTAGAAATTCCTCCTTAAAGCACCTTTATGAATCCAAAGCTTCCTCAATATGCATAATAACCAATGATAATTTGCAAAATTTTGTCCCTCAAATGCCTTTTCTCTCCTACAGCATTTAATATTCTTGTTTGGAAACAGAAATTCATTTATTCTTGTGCTGTCTGGTAGCCACTTCGGTTAAGAGTAGGCATTTATAATTTATGGCGAATCTTGTGTCCGCACAAAATTTGGAACAATTTTTATTGAATAATGTCTGTAGTTTTCCTAGAACTTAGGAGATAGTGCTTTATGGTAGTGTGCCATTTCGGCTGTTTTTAGTGTATTTCAATGGAGAGCAATGCCTCTGGCTTTTAAGAACTCATCTTTGTCCTTTGATATGTTGTTAGGTAAGGTTGTTTTTTGGTTTGTCTTTGGAGCTTAGGCAACAATTTCTCTGTTGTGTAATGAGTGAGCTTGTTTGTCCATATATATTCTGAGAAATATGCACAGAAATAGGATGGCTTTATTGTATCACTGAGTAATTTTGTTTATTTCTGCCCCTTTTTTTTTTGTCACCTGTTAAGGAGAATCTCTTGTCTCTGTTCAAATATGGAAAGAGAACTATATTCAGATTTTCTGTTATATGAGAATTGCTAAACGGCATTTATTGCCCTCTTTTCCCCAGATTAGCTTCTAGTAGAAAGCTTATTTCTTTGTTATTTAATTATCAGAATGGTTTTCTTCTAAGGAAGTATACGCACCTGAGTAATGACAGCAGCTACTCAATCTCTATAGAAGATGGGGTTGACATTGTGGTTCCAGGCAATTTGTCATCTGGTGATGAGGAAAGCCTTGACAACATGAATCAAACATTGGACACTTCTATATATTCTCAAAGTGAATCAAATGAAGCTCGAAGTTTTACCTTTGAAACCCAGGTAGATGATAATGTGGTTTCTTTATTGGTAATTCATCGTGAGTGGCTTACTTTGCTCAATTGACTCTTTTTTTTCTTGTTTATGGCTCTAAGAGAATTTCTTATTCTTTGCCCCCGTTCCGCTTTCTTTCTCTATAATAATTTTTTTATTTTTTTGTTTTAAAAAAAAGAGACGAAGTTGCCAACATTTAACCAAGACCATTGGAAAGCCTCCTTGTACTTTTGGATATAATAATGTAACTATTGTTTTGTCACTATTTTCTGAATACATTGGCAACGGCATACGCATCTCTATTTGCACCGAGCAAATTTTTTGATACTAGGTGAACTGCTAAAATGTTTTATTGATTTAGTTTAGGTAGTTGCATTGTGCTATGTTTACTATATTTTTCACTTTTCAAAAGAAGAAGAAAAGAGCTATAGATGTTTGTCTGACTTTTATTCATGGAAAAAACTACCCACCCCCTGATGAGGTGAATCTTTCATTTTATTCTATGTTGTTTTTTTCTTTTTGGTGGTCTTCTGTCTGATGGCTATTGTACTTTGGTGTTAGGTTGTTTCTTCCGAGTTCACGTTCTATGATGGTACGAAGTCATTTCTTGATGATTCATCTTATGGCGAGAAGCTTATTCGTGCAAAGTTGGACCTGAGCTTCATGTGAGATATCTTAGGAGACAGCATTAAATTTTCTTGGGAAAATTATGGTTTAGGAATTCTTGGCTGAAGTATTCTCAGTTTTGGATTAATTAACCAAAGTGGTGAATTATGTCAGTATAGGGTTAGCCCATTAACCAAAAACCACTCTTTAGGCATTGTGAATCACTTATTAATTGTTCCTCAATTGGAGTTATTTTTTTGCCAAGAATCCTAAATTATAATTCCCCCAATTTTCTTTGTTTTAAACAGTCAATATCTGCTCAACGGAGCAAAACAATGTTCAATTTCTCTTATTTCCCTTCATGCATTCTTTCTTTATTAAAAAAAAAAAAAAAGTGAAAGAGTTTTGCAGACTAACATTTGACCTGTAATTTTCTTCTGTCTATTTGAATAGGTATGCCTCCACAGAAAAAGACACTTGGATCAAAGCCCTGGTGAAGGATTTTACTGTTGAGGCTGGTTCTGGACTTATCATTCTAGATCCAGTGGATATATCAGGAGGATATACTTCTGTGAAAGACAAAAAAAATATATCATTGCTATCAACGGACATTTGTATTCATCTTTCACTAAGTGCTGTTTCTCTTATACTAAATCTTCAAAGTCAGGCATCTGCTGCATTAAATTTTGGAAATGCATCTCCCCTTATTCAATGCACCAACTTTGACCAAATCTGGGTGTCTGAGAAAGGTTTCTTGCTAATTATGGGGAATAACCTGCTCACAAATTTTCTCATTTATTTTTATATATTCAATTTATCAACTTGAACGTTATATATTGTGCACCATATAGCTGAGAGAATGTTGAACTCTTTAGTCTTCTCTACTTTGCAGAGACTGGTCCCAAAAGCAATATTACCTTTTGGAGGCCTCGAGCTCCTGCAAACTATGTTGTATTAGGAGATTGTGTGACATCAAGGTATCCTCTCTTTTTTTATGTCTACCTTGTTTGCATTCTAATCTTCTATAATTCACTCTCTTGATCATGCCAAAGAAATCTACGATAGGAGTATACAACTTGGTCAACAGTGAAGGTCGGATCAGGAAAAAATATCATGATCATTTAAGATGATGACTTATCCTATCTGTAGCATCGTACTTGTCATGAACCAGCATTCTCAAAAGCTTACTCTATTAGATGAAGATACAAATGATTTTATATTATATCTCTAACACCTCCCTCATGCCAAAAACCCTTTATGGATTGAAGTATGAACAATGCAAAGGCCCATCATGCCAAGAGACCTTTTAGGAATTGAACCATGGATAATAAATGGGCCTATTTTTCTTGTTCTGAAAATAAACTTTTTATTAGAAGAATGAAGGCGGTAAGAATAGAACTCTCAACCGATCAGTATTGATACCATATCATGAATCAACTCTCCCAAAAACCTAAGTTGTTAGGTGAAGATATTATATACCTCTAATAGTACTCTTCTTTTGTTAACGAAGTCAAAAGAGAAGAAAAAGGTCAGCATAGAGACAATGCCATGATTACAATGGTAAAATTCCGCTCCAACCTCCCTTCCCTTCTCTAAACTGTTATTATTAGTATCCCAAAATGCTAAAGATCATTTTTAGGAATGCAAGAAACGGAAAATACAGATTGCTTGCACATTACGATGGATCTATAGATATGAGGATCTGAGATGTGATCAGCCACATGTCTTGATTGCTTGCACCCTGCAGGCATAGGGGTCGAAATACCCTTAGCATCCACCATGTGGGCTCTAGTAAGTAGGTCACTAGTATACTTGGACTGAGATAACAAAATAGATCTAGTAGGAAGGTGCTTGACCTCACCACTAAGGAAATAGTCATAAGTTTGAGAACAAAGATGAGTTGAACTTAGTGATAAGCTACTGGATCAACTGAGGATCATTGCTAGTGACATCAATATTATCAACATACACAAGAATATGGATATAGTTAGAAGATAGGCGATTGTTGAATAAGGTTGGTTCACATTTGCTAGATCTGAATCCAAAACTAAGAAAAGTCTGTCCATCTTGATGTAAATATAACCAAAAATCAAGATTTACATCACACTTGGCTTCACTACTCATGTACATACAATTATGACAAAATATACAACTCATCAGTTATGATAGATAATGGTCCTATCATGCCACTTCATCAGAATGGGCCATAATCCAAAAACATAAGATCTCATGCATTAAGTAGGCTTCTTGCCCTGAGAAGTCCTAACTTCTTCACTTAGAGCACCTAAAACATAATCCCCAAACAGGGTGAGATAACAATCTCAGTAAACTCTGGATCCTTGGAGGATTCCTTTACCCTTGAGTTCATTTCCCGCAAGAAGGATTAGTATACATGGCATAACAAGCATCATATAAACAGAGGAAACACATAATTGATTTAACTTGTGCACCCAGTATACTAGGACTACTCCAATGAGTCGTACCTCACAGCTAGTGTTCGTATGGAACTTCCAAGAGAAGTCCATATCCATGTTCAAAAGGTCAAAGAACTAAATAATCAATTCATCAATATAAGAATTCAATTTTACGTTAGCCCGTACACTAACCATAAATCTAGCCCTTAGTGCTTGTTCATTGGTCCGTACACCATTGCACAACAACTCTATATGAATGCAACTATGCCATTCAACTAACAATCAACTAATCATTCAATACCATAACCATAACTCCAAAGGAGCATGGTGGAACAACAAGTGGGACTAATCCCAAGGCTCAAGATTTTACCTTTGGTGATTAGTTCCCAAGCCTCTGCTCTATGACTTCCAAAGCCAGTAACATCAATTTACCTATGGTCATCTATCATGAGTAATCAAATTAGTCAACAATATTACCTACACATGAATTCATCTAATCCATTACTCAAGCATCATTAAACCAATGTGAGACACTTACCCCAAGCTTCTTCAAATTCAAGAACAAGGCCTTAATTCTCAAAGAGGCTCCAATGGTGATTCCAACACAATCACTACTAGGTTCAACACATCTATACCAAAGGTACACACAATACCCATCAATATCAACATACCCCAACATAATCCAAAATCTCCCGAATTTCTTCCATGAAACCTTAACCATCAATTTCTCAAAACTCCAAAGAAGATTCATAGTTCCATCAATTTCTCAAAACTCCAAAGAAGATTCATAGTTCTTACCTCTAATCCCTTGAGTATGAATGGTTGAAGCTTTAAGCTTCAATGGAAGGCCGACTCTCCCCCTTCCTAGCCCCTCAGAAATGGCCACCACAATGGTAAGAAAAGAGGACTTTTCCATGGTATTGGGTTAAGAGAGATGGAGGTATGGTTGGGTGTCCTTTGCTCCCACTATGGGTCTCTCCAAGAAAGGATGAAGGAGATGAAGATAGTTTCTCTCTTTTCTTCTTTCTTGGTCGATGGAATACGATGTTTGAAGAAGATGAAAATGGTGAGTATTGAGGAAGAGGGGGACCGTGAGATGAAATGAGTGAGGGAGGGAGGAGAGAGAAATTCAAGATATTTGGACGATATCTTCAAAGGGGAAGGACTATTTTGCCCATAGGTCCACTCTCTTTTTACAACACACCTTTGCCTATTAAATTCAAATTCAAGTGGGTTGGGTCCCAATTAGGTGTGTCACACACTTAATTTATTTTGGGTCTTACCCATTTTGCATAACTGTATTTTTAACCCAACACTTTTATTATTTGCACTTTTTCCCTGAAAGTGACTTAGCTTTAAATTAGACTTTTCATCTATTAACCCTTAATTACTCATTATTCTCTATTTAATGTAATTAATTATTTGAGTTATTATATGAGTGAATCTACAAGAGCTTTGATGCGGAGAAGGTATTCTGAGATCTTCATATTTTGGAGTTCAGACCTGAGCTTCCTAGACTCTGGCATGCATCTGCAAATAGACAAAGTTGAGGATTTCTTCCCCACTTTGCAATGAATGAACACAACCAACAGCTCTAGTAAGGATTGACTCAAAGAGAAAGGAGAGGAGCCAAGAGAACATCATCTGATCCTGCTGCTCCAATTTTAGATAAGTCTCATTGATTCTGTTCATAGCTCGGTCTTCCTTAGAGGCAATACACAGATGAAGCCGATGTGCCTTGACTACTGCTTCAACCTTTTGCTTCCACATCAAGAAATAGGTTCACTAAAACTGAGTGCGAAAACAACACTCGAGCAGATTTGTTCTGATTTGCAGTTTTGGAATGAATCTAAGTTTGATTCTTAGTGGTAGAACCACCAGGAACAGGTGTGTGCGCAAACACAGCTTCATTTTGATCTTGTGGTGATGCCATTGGTTGTCGATCAGGCCTGGATAGGGCTATGAATCCATAATAGAAACCAAGAGAAAATGGAGGAGAGTGGAGGAAAGAAATGAGAATAGCGGAGAAATAGTCTTGGAATAACAGATCTGAAACACAATGAAGATTTTTATAGGGCTATAGTTGCTTGAACAGCTGTAAAGCAGAATAACAGATCTGAAACAGATATTGTAACTAACTAGCAGGTAGCAACTAACTGGCTAACCAACTGACAGCTAAGTTAACTGAACTAACAGAACTAATAGTGAGCTAACTTAACTAACAGTAGTTACTAGCAGTAGTACAACATTGCAGCAGTGGTTCACTACTGCATATACTCTGATATATGGTATTCACTTATTTTGCAAGTGGGGTCATTTGTGAATTGTGGTTTTTTTTCCCCTGTTCTGATATGATAAGTTTTGAACTATTTTGATTTCTTGCTGTGGTAATATTTTATTTTATTGTCCTTTCAGGCCAATTCCTCCTTCACAGGCTGTAATGGCAGTAAGTAACACATATGGCCGTGTAAGGAAGCCTGTTGATTTCCATCTTATTGGGTCATTCATGAATATTCTAGGGCATGGTGGAGGTGAAGGCCATTCTGTTTCTGACAGTGATTGTTCTCTTTGGATGCCCATTGCGCCCCCAGGGTACACAACACTAGGCTGTGTAGCCCATGTTGGGAACCAACCACCACCAAATCATGTTGTTCATTGCTTACGTTCTGATCTTGTGACATCAGCAAAATATTCAGACTGCTTATTTAATATCCCATCAAACAATCAATTCAGATCTGGATTTAGCATATGGCGCCTTGATAATGCTATTGGCTCATTTTTTGCACATTCTGCAACTGGTTGCCCTCTCAAAGACATATGTTATAACTTAAATTATCTGCTTGTCTGGAATTCAATTCGAGCTCCTCTGATCGGTCCAGTGTCAGATTTTAATTCTGAACTTGAAAATAATAATCAGCAGACAAGCAAAAGTGTGAATACATCTGGATGGGATATTCTCAAGTCCATTTCAAAAGCAACTAACTGCTATAAGTCTACACCGAACTTTGAAAGGATTTGGTGGGACAAAGGTAGTGACCTCCGTCGCCCAGTCTCCATTTGGCGACCTATCGAACATCGTGGTTATGCTGTTTTGGGTGATTGCATTACTGAAGGGTTAGACCCTGTTATGTTTTAGGCTTTTTTTTTTAACCTTTCTATTATCTATCTTTTAGTTAACCTACTTCATGTTTTTGTTGGGATTGATATCTTGTCTCTTTCCTGCCTTTCAGCCTAGAGCCTCCTCCACTGGGAATAATCTTCAAGAATGACAATCCTGATATCTCTTCAAAACCTGTTCAATTTACCAGAGTTTCCCATATTGTAGGGAAAGGGTTTGATGAAGTTTTCTTCTGGTATCCTATAGCTCCTCCTGGTTATGTTTCTCTGGGATGTGTTGTCTCCAGAACAGATGAAGCCCCACGTGCAGATTTGTTTTGCTGCCCAAGGATGGATCTTGTAAGCCAAGCAAACATTCATGAGGTGCCTCTTTTGAGATCTTCAAGTTCAAGGGCTCCTCAAAGTTGGAGCATATGGAAAGTTGAAAATCAGGTCAATCATTACTTGCACTTCAGTTAACACACTCTAAAAATCTAATGTTAATGGTTTTAAAGTTGAAACAAATATACCTGCTTATGTGGTGCATGTTAATTTGATTCACATGCTGTGGAAAAGCTTGTAGTTGTTGAGCTGTGATTACATGATTTAACCCCCCACCCCACACCCACAACACACAAAAAGATAAAAAAGAAAGAGAGTTTGATTATCATCCTACATTAATGCAGGCATGCACTTTTCTTGCTCGTTCTGACCTTAAAAAACCATCAAGCCGATTGGCCTACAAAATTGGTGATTCTATGAAGCCCAAGAATCGGGAAAACATAAATGCTGAGCTGAAGTTGCGATGCTTTTCCCTTACGATTTTGGACAGCTTATGTGGAATGGTATGTTCTATATGCCTATTATGAAACAATTGACATTCTTTTCCCAGTTATTTACCAATGATAAAAAAATTAGTAACAGAAGATTCTTTTTTATAAATTCAACACTGAATTCAACTACCCTTTCAGATGAGACCCCTATTTGACACTACAATTACAAATATTAAGCTTGCAACACACGGTGGACTAGATGGGATTAATGCAGTACTGATTTCTTCAATTGTTGCTTCAACCTTCAATGCACAATTAGAGGCATGGGAGCCCCTTGTGGAGCCATTCGATGGAATATTCAAGTAATTGATTAGTTATTTAGTTTTTTCATACAATATTTTAATTGCTAATGTATACTAATTGTCCAGTATCTGCTTTAAATTTTAGTCATGAGCCAGTCCTGTTGAGAATATGCCAATGATTAGATGTTTCCTTTCTAACTTGTTTAGGTTTGAAACTTTTGATACCAATGTACAATCGCCATTAGGACTTGGGAAGCGAGTTCGAATTTCTGCTACCAGCATCTTGAATGTAAATCTCAGTGCAGCAAACCTTGAATCCTTCGTGGGAAGCATTCTTTCATGGAGAAGACAGTTAGAGCTTGAACAGAAAGCATCCAAGCTAAATGCGGTCAAACTCTGAATACTTTATCCATTTTTCCTTTAAAGCTCATGCCTTTTAAAAGCCTTGCTAACTGTTTGCATTTGCAGGAGGTTGGTGGTCAACAAGGCAAAGGAGAAAATACAACTTTTTCTGCACTAGATGAGGATGACTTGCAGACTGTGATAATAGAAAATAAACTTGGGTGTGACATTTTTGTCAAAAAAGTTGAACATGATGTAGATACAGTTGACAAGCTACATCATGGCGATTGTGCTTCTGTGTGGATTCCACCTCCTAGGTTTTCAAATAGGTTAAATGTTGCGGATGAATCTAGGGAAGCACGTTATTATGTTGCTGTACAGATACTTGAAGCCAAGGTCATAATGTGTTGAAATGGTTTATACATAATTCTGACCACATTCCTGATTTCCCTGCCTATCTGGAAGATTAAAATCGATTCATTTCAATTTTTGTAGGGTTTACCTATCATTGATGATGGTAACAGCCATAACTTCTTCTGTGCTTTGCGTCTCATTGTTGACAGTCAAGCATCAGAACAGCAAAAGCTTTTTCCCCAAAGTGCAAGAACAAAGTGTGTGAAGCCTGTAGTATCAAGAATTAATGATTGGGATGAAGGCAGAGTAAAGTGGAATGAACTTTTCATATTTGAAGTTCCCCGAAAGGTATTGTGTTATTAAATGATTAGTTTATAGTTTTGCTTCACTTATTTATTTGTAGATTCTCATTAACTGAAATATATTTAAAAAATAAAAAATCTTGAGCAGAAACTGTGCTCTCGCAATATGAAGTTTATGGTCTACCAGAAGATAATTACATCGCTTTAGAAAATGTTGTTTTGCTTAGGCAACAGTTATTTCATATATATACTTTTTTATTATACATTCAACTTGGGGTCTCTCCTTTTTATTACCTTCTCTTTTTTTGGTCTTCTTGAAATGTTTGTTCAATCGGCAGTTTCCCCCATATATATATATGTGTGTGTGTGTGTGTATGTGTGTGTGTGCATAAATTACCTCATTCATCTATGATTTTCTTGCATACTTAAAGAGTTTGCTGCATTTACTGTTACATTGAGAAATTTGTTACAGGCCCCTGCTAAGTTGGAGATAGAGGTTACGAATCTTGCTGCAAAAGCTGGAAAAGGTATTTCTTGTATGCCTTGTTCAGTGAGACTTTGTATATGTCATGGATGCCCTGTTCTGAGAGATTTGTATACGTCTAGGATGCTTGGTTCAGTCGGACTTTGTTTATACAAAGTCAAATGTGCATAGGTTCAGTTTATCTGATTAATGGAGTCACTTTATTCAAACTTTGCATGTCAGATGTTTTCTTCCAACTAGTAATTGTAATTTGTTATTTCCATGTTGGAGTTTATGTTTTCTTCCAACTCAGCTTGCTTTTGCTTTTTCCTAAGAACTCATGTATTCATCGTGCAGGGGATGTTGTGGGTGCACTTTCTTTTTCTGTTGGACATGGAGCAAATACTCTAAAGAAGATTCCTTCAGTGAGAATGTTTCATCAACCGTATGATGTTCAGAATATTAGATCATATCCACTCAGTAGAATGGTTAGTTACTATTTTTTTTCATCATCATTTTAACACAATTTGTCCTTTTGATAAAATTAAATATTTAGATTTTTTTTTTTTTGCTTTTTTCTCGTATTCTGTTGCAGGTTCAGCAAAGCAATGTTGAAGACATGCATGATGGGTGCCTCTTTATTTCAACTTCCTATTTTGAAAAAAACACAATTGCTAACCTTCCAAAAGATATGGAAATTGAGAACGTTGCTGATAGAGACATAGGTTTTTGGGTGGGGCTTGGTCCTGAGGATGAGTGGGAGTGTATTCGATCATTGCTTCCACTTTCAGTGGTTCCAAAATCATTACAGAATGAATATATTGGTATGGAAGTTGTGATGAAAAATGGAAAGAAGCATGTAATTTTCAGGGGTCTTGTTACAGTAGTGAATGATTCGGATGTGATGTTGAATATTTCAACATGTCATGCATCTCATGGTTATGATCCCTCACCTGGAGCAAACAGTTCTAATACTGTAGTTGAAGAAGTCTTTCAAAATCAGTATTATCAGCCATCATCTGGTTGGGGTAACAATTGGCCAAGTGTGCCGTATGATAATCCTGGACACTGGAGCACAAGGGACTCCTCGTACTCATCTAAGGTTGGTATATTTATATTTTCTGTCCTCACTTATTTACTTCCTTACGTAAGATACCATCATTTTGGTTATAATCCTTACTTGCACTGTTTTGAAGGACTTCTTTGAACCTCCCCTTCCTCCTGGTTGGAAATGGGCGTCAGGTTGGTCCATAGATAAGTTTCAGTATGTTGACAAGGAAGGCTGGGCATATGGGTCTGACCTTAAAAACTTAAGATGGCCTCCTACTTCTTCAAAGTCTTCAACAAAATCAGCCTCTGATGTTGTGCGTCGAAGGCGTTGGATTCGTACAAGACAAATTTCTGAACAAGGTATAGAATACTTGCAGAGCGTAGCAAATACCGTGCACCCTGGAGCTTCTGCTGTTTTATCTTGGAGAAGTACATCCAAGGACTCTGACCAATGTTTGCAAGTTCGACCTCATTTTGATAATTCTCAGCCCTCATTCTCATGGGGTCGTGTTGTAGCTGTCGGTTCAAGTTATATATATACCAAAGACCAATTTTTAGTTCAAGGTTCTAGACAGAATTCTGTGACACCCGATTCTTTGAAGCTGAATGAGCTTGAGAAAAAGGATATACTTCTGTGCTGTAATCCTAGTAATGGAAATAAACAATTATGGCTTAGTGTGGGTACAGATGCCTCAGTTCTTAATACTGAACTAAATGTACCTGTATATGATTGGAGAATATCTATCAACTCTCCTATAAAATTGGAGAACCGGCTTCCTTGTCCTGCTGAAATTTCGATCTCAGAGAAAACAAAGGAAGGAAATTGTGTTAAGCGGCATCATGGTGTCATATCTTCTCGTCAAAGTGTACATATTTATTCCGCCGATATTCAGAAACCTTTGTATCTTACTTTGGCTGTGCAGGGTGGTTGGGTTATGGAAAAGGTGATGACTAATCTAGCTCTGAACTTTATTGTATAATTAAGAAATTTTTTATTTGTAACTGTTTATTTATTGCAAGATACTTGATTGACCTTCATGTTCTTTCCTTGATTCCTTGATTCAGGACCCCATTCTTGTACTGGATCCTTCTTTCTCAAATCATGTCTCATCTTTCTGGATGGTTCACCAGCAAAGTAGAAGGTATGACTTGAAAAGAAATTTGAAATATTATTGTTATTGTGTAAAAATAGGTACAAAGGATTACAATATTTATAGAAAAATAATGGTTCCAAAGGAATAAACCCAAATCCTAAGAAATAAGGAAACATAATCTGGCTAATAAAGGAAACAAATAATAACTAATCTTTCATATTTACAACACTCCCCCTCAAGCTGAGAAATATATATTTATCATTCACAGCTTGCTAGTAAATTCTTAAAATTTGTCAGTGGGAAGTCCCTTGGTGAAAGACATCAGCTAGTTGGCGACCAAAAGTAATATATGAAGTAGTGATCAATCCACTATGTTTTCTCTTTGATGAAGTGATGGTCAACCTCAATGTTTCGTTCGGCCATGTTGAACAAGATTATGCGCAATAGCAATGATTGACTTATTATCATAGAGTAACTTCATAGTTCTTAACATTTTATTTTGAGATCATCTAGAACAATTTTCAGCCATAGTAGTTCACAAATACCTTGGGCTATGGCTTGAAATTTTGCCTCTGCGCTCGACCTAGCAATTACATTTTACTTTTTACTTTTCCATGTTACTAGGTTTCTAGAAAGAAACATACAATATCTCGAGGTAGATCCGTCGATCAATCATAGATCCAATATAATCGGCATCAATATAAACTTCTAAGGATAGTTTTCCATCTCTCTTGAATAAAATAGTCCAATGCCTGATGTGGCCTTAAGATATTGGATAATTCTTTCTACTACATGCAAATGTTTTTCCCTTGGTTGTGCATGAACTGGCTAACAATGCTAACTGCATAAGCTAGATTAAGTCTAATATGAGCCAAATATATCAATTTTCCTATCAGCCGTTGATATTACCCTTTATCAACTTTAGGGTTTTCCTAGTCATTTTTCCGTTAATGATTCTACTTAATAGTAGTATTAGAAGGTTTGCACTCAAGCTTTCCTCCTTCTTTAAGGAGATCAATAAAATACTTTCTTTGAGAGATGAAGATTCCCTACTTTGAATGGGCAACCTCTCTTCCTAGAAAATATCTTAATTTTTCAAAATCTTTAACTTCAAATTCAATGTCATTAACATAAACTAGGAGAATAGTGACCTTACCTTCATGGGAATGTTTAAAGAAAAGTGTGTGGCCTCCTTGACTCTGCTGGTATCCCAATGATAACATGACCTTAGTAAATCTTCCAAACCGAGCAAATAGGGTTGCTTCAACCTATACAGAGCCTTCTTTAACTTACACACTTTGCTATCTCCATTTGTAGAGTCAAATCCCAGTGGAATTTCTATGTAAACTTCATCTTCTAACTCGTTGTTGAGGAAGGCATTCTTCACATCTAATTATTCATGTCCCAATCAAATTGAGCAGCCAAGGACAATGAGACTCTCACGGCGTTCATTTTGGCCATTGGAGCAAATGTTTCATCATAATCAAAACCATATGTCTGTGTGTAACCCTAGGCTACTAGTAGAGCCTTATAGCTGTCAAGAGTCCCATCTAAATTATATTTCAAAGTATAAACCTATTTGCACCCTACTTCTTTCTTTCCGCTTGGCTTATCAACAACTTCTCATGTTATATTTTTCTCCAAGGCATTCATCTCGTCATGCATGGCTTGAACCTAATTCTCATATTTTAATGCTTCGTGCACTGATGTCAGGATTGAGATGGAATGAGTGCTGAAATAAAAAATTTATGCTACACTGAAAGTTTCTTAGATGAGACAAAATGAGAGATAGGATGTTGGGTATAAATCTGTTTCCTTTTCCTTAAGGAAATGACGAGTCATTAGGATTTATAATGCTAGGATCAGGATTAGAAATAGTAGTGCATCCAGTACTTACCAATGGTTCAGACGATCGTAGTTGTCGGTGGGACAGTATGGATTGTTTCTTTTTCTTATACAATAATTGGGGTGTTCCAGCCTTCTGTAGATTAGCCTTCTATATATTGTAAAGTGGAGGCATGTTAGCTAAAGCATCAGATGAACTACTAGCCTCATCAACTAAGTCTTCTAACTTATTATCCGCTTCGTCAATTCAAGTCTTCCTGCTCATTATCACATTGTGTAGTAATTGGGACAGATTCAATAGAGTTTGACTTGGGAAAGTTGGGCAAAGGTAAATGGGACTCGGACTCGAAGAAAATAGACGAAGCTTCTGGACCGCCTTCCCCCTGATGCGGAGGACGAGTGAAAAAGGATTCATCTTCATAAAAAGTTACATCCTTATAGACAAAGAACTTACGGCTCGAAGGATGATAACATTTGTACCTTTTTTTATTGAGAGCATAACCAAGGAAGAGACGCTTGAGAGCTCGGAGTTCCAATTTACTCCGGTGCTGTATATGAATATAGACAAAGGCAACATGTCCAAAGACCCGAGATTGAAGGCTTTGCATAATTGGAACAAAAAGAAAGAAATATATCATGGAAAGAATATGATTGACATGGCCAAGCACCCGAGAGGGTAAGCGGTTGATCAAATAGGCTGCAGTTAACATGGCTTCTCCCTAATAGGAGTTGGGAACATGTCTAAAAAATAATGCTTTGGTTACTTCAAGCAAGTGACGGGTTTTTTTTTCAGCAGCCCAATTTTGTTGATAGGTGTCCACACTTGTGAACTCATGAATCACACCCTTGTCTGAAATGAATTGTGACAAGCGTTGGTTAATGTACTCTATATCATTATCTAATCTTAATCGCTTAATACTCTAACCAAACTGTGTTTCGATCATGTGATAAAATTGAATAAACAATTATGGTACTTTTGACTTGTCTTTCATCAAGAATATCAATGTCACCCAAGTACAATCATCAATGCAGGAAACAAACCGCTTAGCACCTAAAATAGTTTGCACTTTAGAAGAGCCCCAAACATCTGAATGTATAAGAGTATAAAGAGTAATACTTTTTATTGAACTTAAAGGAAAGGGCACATGATGGTGTTTTGCAAGCTCACAAAAATCACAATGGAAGGAGCCAATTGATTAATGCACAAACAAAGAAGGAAACATAGACTTCAGTAGGCTTTGATGGGTGATATGAAAGAAACGGCTCAGCTAAACAAGTCATATTATTAGTTGCACAAGAATCCATGATTCATGAATTTTTAAGTCAGTGCAAGAAGTAAGAAGAGATGTAAGGTGTGTGATCTTACCAGACATAGCCAAAGAACTTCTCGTCGAATAGTCACATATTGGGATACTTTACCAAGCTTCTCTAGAACATGTTGCTTCCTAAGAAGGCAAAAGCATACGTCTTTTGTGTGTTCAGGCTCCTCATAGCGGATGCATTGATGTCCTATGGACGAAAAAAGAGAAGGCAACACAAGAAAGGGAATGGGTAATGAAAAGAACCAATTCAACCCAAAAGTTTAAGCTGTTGGGTGAGGCTACATTAATGGTTTTATATATCTCAACACGCCCTTTCACACAAGAGCCCACTGGGCTTGAAGGGTGGGCAATGCACAGGCCCACCTACCTATGCGAAGAAAGAAATTCCACTAGAAAGAAAGTGGGGGGCAGTGAGGATCGAACCCGGTACACCGAGGCTCTGATACCATGTAAAGAACCAATTCAACCCAAAAGCTTAAGCTGTTGGGTGAGACTACATTAATGGTTTTATATATCTCAACAGGTAATTACCAACGAAGTTGATGGGCTTCTAGGGAGTTTCCAATCTGGAGGTTGCGACGTTGTATGTGTGGTTGCCGAAGTTGTAATTGACAAGAAAGTATGCTTATCGGAGGGAGAAGGTGCGAATGAAGTGTTTTGACACGTTTGGAGGGGCCGTTTGGATGTGAAATAGCCGTAGAAGGATAAATCTTGAGATTTTGAGTCAAAAAATATCCTTTTAATCTTAAAAGATTGTCGGAAATTTTTTCCCATGGAGGCCCGTGGTGGCTAGTGACTGGAGATTGTCGGGAAAGGAAATTGCAGCGGAGGCACATCGCTTATATGAGAGAATCCACACTAAAGGCGATGGCTTGAATGCACAAAAGGCATAAAAGAGTGTGCTCTGAAGGCGGCAATGGCGGAAGCAAAAGGCTCCTAGATCGAGAGCTATTTCTATTGTGTAAAAATAGGTACAAAGAATGGGCCTAAAGGAATAAACCTGTATAGAACCAATTCAACCCAAAAGCTTTTGGGTTGAATTGGTTCTTTACATGGTATCAAAGTCTCGTGTCCCAGGTTATCCTCACCGCCCCCACTTTCTCTCGGGGAATTTTCTTAGTGCAGGTAGGTGGGTTTGTGCATTATCCGCCCTTCAAGTCCAATGGGATCTCGTGTAAGGGGTCGTATTAGAGAATAGTATAAAACATTAAAAAGCCCTCGCCCCACAAGCTTAAGCTTTTGGAGAATTGGTGCATTACATGGTATCAGAGCTTCAGTGACCAAGTGATCACGACTTAAATCCTTATTTCCCCCACTTTCTCTTGTGAAATTTCTTAGTACAGGTAGATGAGTTTGTATATTGTCTACCCTTCAAGCCCAAAAGGCTCTCGTATGAGAGGCGTGTTAGAGATATATAAAACCATTAATGTAACCTCATCCAATAGCTTAAGCTTTTGGGTTAAATTGATTCTTTACAAAACCTAAATCCCAAGAAATAAGAAAACATAATCTAGCTAATAAAGGAAACAAATAATAACAAATTTTCCATATTTACAACAGTATGTAATTTGTTTTTAAAGAAAAAAATTAAATCACATAAATTTTCTTTAAGTTAGTATATGCTTTTGCGCTTTATTAAATACCTTTCCATAGTCAAATATTAGATGTTCTTTTATAATATTGCTCTTAGAGGTGAAGTATTTTGTCATAAAGGCTCTGATACAGTGTCATTAATCAACTCTACCAAAAGTTTAAGTTGTTAGGTAAAGATACATGAATGGTTTTATAATATATCTCTAACATGTTTTGTAAGCATAATATTTATCATAGCTTTGATCATATCTGTTGAAATTATCGAGATTTTGGTGGGGACAAAAGAAAAGAAAGAATATAGTGAATAATATGAAATTGGTATTCATTTGATATGTTATGATGTGTTTAAATCTACAAAGCACTAACCCTGTTTATGCAAATGTTAGACTCTAAATCCTTATTTAAATTAGAAAATAAATCATGAAATATAAAGAAATAAGAAAAGTTCCCAAGAGATCATATAAGATAATCTAAACTATTCTAATATGCAATCAAGATATCGTGATATTTTTCATATATTCTCACACCCCTTCAAGTTAAAGCTTACTAAGTTTCACACTTGTTACAAATGGACCTTTTGAAAAGGAAAATAATAAAATTATATAATCTAGGCTCTGCAAAAAATAGTTATCGAAGGCGTAATAGGTGGAAGGTGGCCGCAAACTGTGGTGGTGGCAATGAGTCTTCAAGGACAGTGACCAATGGATCTTCAAGCGCAATGAAGGCACGCGCAATGGGCTGCAATGAAAGCAGTTAGGGTTAAACAATGAAGGGTGGTTCCAAAACCATGTGATGAAGGCCGGTGAATCAGCAATAAAGGTTGATGGCAAGAAGGCACCAATAGTCCAACAACGTGGAGGCAGATGACGGCGTGCGTCTGAGATCTGGACGACCTAGACTGGGCGTTTTTATTTTTTTGTTAAGGTGTTTTACATATGGGGGTTTCTAAATTTGGTTGGGAAATTTTTTCCGTAGCTGAAAAAGTTGATGGCCTGGCAGTGCGCTGTTAGAAGTAGGCACGATAGGATTGGCAAACTGTTATTAAGGCTTAGCGAAGAGAAAAGAACCGTTGCGCAGTGGGCATGATGGGTTTGGAAATATTTTTCATTGGGCAGTGACCACAACTGGTTTGTTGAGAGAGATGAGAAGAAAATAATCATGGTGATAATGACATCATTACAATTGAGTTTCTGATTTTAGGAAACCCGATAGCGGAATAGTGATGGAACAGATCTCAGAGGATTGTACCACTCTAATACCATGTCAAAACTATAGAGGTTTAGGTAGGGAAACAAGAAAATAGAGAATAAAGTGAATAATATGAAATTGGTATTAATTTGATATGTTATGATGCGAAACAATCTACAAAGTACTTATCTATATTTATATTAATATTAGACTCTAAATTCTATTAAAATAAGGAAATAAATTGTGAAATATAAATAAATAAGAGAAGTATTCCTTAGAGATCATATAAGATGTTCTAAACTATTTGAAGATACAATCAAGATACTTTGAGATATGATTCATATATTCTAACAATATCCATCAACATTTGTGCAGGAAATTGCGTGTGAGCATTGAACATGATATGGGTGGGACAAATGCTGCACCAAAAACCTTAAGACTTTTTGTCCCTTATTGGATTGTCAATGATTCTTCTCTAGCTTTGGCATATCGTGTGGTGGAAGTGGAACCTATGGAAAATGCAGAGATGGATTCTGTCTCTCTCTCTAGGGCAGTTAAGTCTGCCAAGACAGCCTTGAAAAATCCCATAAGCTCAATGGATAAAAGGCATTTTTCAAGGAGAAACCTACAAGTACTTGAAGTAATTGAAGACAATAGCCCATTCCCTAGCATGCTTTCTCCACAAGATTATGCTGGTCGTAGTGGAGTTACAATGTTTCAATCTCAGAAAGATACATACTTGTCACCTAGGCTGGGCATTTCTGTTTCTATGCGCCATTCTGAAGTTTACAGCTCTGGGATTTCTCTGCTTGAATTGGAAAACAAGGTGTTATTCATAAATGGACAAACCAACTGCTTCATCTTTTCTGCAATGCATTAGTATTTCCTCATGTTTGTTCCATAGTATATAATGTTCATTGAAACTCTTGCAGGAACGTATTGATGTCAAGGCTTTCAATTCTGATGGATCTTACTACAAGCTTTCAGCTTTGTTGAAAATGACTTCAGACAGAACAAAGGTTGGAGTGTCTATACTCTTGCCTTCAGTAAATTATTATTTGGTTTATCTTCTTATGTCCGTTCTGGTAATGTCTATGGGTTTGTTTGGATAGGCTTTTGACAAAAAGACTTTTTATGCCGTGCCTTTTTTAGAATGGTTTTTTAAAAGTTAAAGCTATTTTACATTTGTATGAAATATATAAAAAGTACTTTTAAATAAAAAGTTATTTGAATGTTAAAATTAATATGTACTTTTTATATATAAAATTACTAAAAATGATGTGGCAGTAGTGGTGGTAGTGGGGTGGAGTGGTTGGAGTAAAATTAGATTTTCAAAAAAAAAAATTTAACTTTTAACTTCTGTTTTTTTTTTTTTGACTTTTGCTTTTTTAGAAAGAATCCTGACTTTAAAAAAAAAAAAAAAAAAAAATAAACCATTTTAACTTCGTTATTTTAATCTTTTTATTTTAAAAAGTTGCTACCCAAACGCATAAAATTGTGCAAAAAGATTTTTATTTTTTTTAAAAGTAGCTTTTCTTAGGGGGAAAAAAGGCCTATCCAAACACACACTATAACTTTATCAATGGCTAGTGCATATCGCGTGGTTCAAGACCAGCCCCATACCAGATGTAAGTAACTAAACTGTCAAGCTTTTTGATGTCCAGGTGGTTCATTTCCAGCCACACACAATGTTCATTAATAGGGTTGGATGTAGTCTCTGCCTGCAGCAATGTGATACTCAGTCAGCTGTATGGATTCATCCTACTGATCCTCCAAAACCCTTTGGGTGGCAGTCATCAGCCAAAGTTGAACTATTGAAGGTGTGAATTATTGATTTTCAAAATATTTGTCCTACTTACATTTCTTGGCTTGTTTTCTATCTTATAAAGGTTCATATATTCATTCAGTTGCGTATTGATGGCTACAAATGGAGTACACCATTTAGTGTGAGCTATGAAGGCGCAATGCGCATTAGCTTGAAAAAAGATGTTGGAGATGACCTAATGCAATTAAGGGTAGCAGTAACAACTGGTGCAAAGGGATCCCGGTTTGAAGTTATTTTTCGTCCAAATTCATTGTCGAGTCCTTACAGGTTTTTGTTCTCTCACTTTCTACTCTATGAGCCATTATAATTGTTGTAAATATAAAAAATTGTGTAATTACTATAGATTCGTTTTTTTATCTTTTGTTAGACAGATAATGATAGGATAGATTATAGGGAGTACATGACTTATTATAGGTCAGATTTCCTCCTTATTTGTTTTGTAGTATCAGCTTGTATTAGAAAAACAATTATTCACATTAATCTATATATATTTATTTATGTATGTCTTTAATCCGTTTTTTTTTTCTCTCTTATTCCTGGGTTTACCATGGTTCTCTTCCCACTAAGTACACTAAATGAACTTAATAAAGATAAATAATATATGATGGAATTGATATTAATTTGATTATTATTTTATATATATTGATATTTGATTTGATTAATGTGGAATTGATATTGATTGATCACTATTTGATTATATATATTGATATTTGATTTAATTTGATTATTAATTACATTAATTGTATTTTGATTGGGATTACCAGCTTTGCTGACTTTTGTGTTTGTTTGACTGCAGTCTGCAATGATCCTTCGGGGGAGTAGAGTTTCTTTGAAACAGGTTCCAAAGGATCGGACTAGCAGTGGGCAGTGACTCAGGATTTCTAGCTAGTCATAAATATTATGTATAAAAATGAAGTCTTAGATTTTATTTGAATGTAATAGAGTTAGCCTTGCACTTGTCTTGTCCCTGTACAGGTGTGGCGGTAACATTTCCCCAAATTAGTTTTAGATTAGCTTCCGCAATATTTCTATTATCATAATTATATAAAACGTGAATTTTTACAATTTATTTATTAAAAGAATGTTTTATAAATTGTTAGAAATTTGGGGTGTTACACCTAGTCTATCTTTTTTTCAATCATCGCCACATCACCTTCATTGCTTATCCCATCTTCATTATGGCCAAGCTGTCGCATAAGCCTTCATTGTGCTCAAAGACCCTGTTTTTGGGCTACCACTTTCACTATGACCCAACTCTCTTTGGATTGGTGAATTCAAAATTAAAGACCTTTGAAATCTAAGGTAAAAAAGGTGTTTTTTTCCTCTTAAAGAAAATATGCCCTTGATCTCCTTATGGAAGTAGGAAAACTTGCGTGTAAAGCTACTGTTGTCCCTATTGAGTAGAACCACCAAATGGGAAGTGAAGAGAGTCCCAAGTTTGATAAAAGGCAAGGTAGTATTAAAGGCTAGTATGAAGATTGAAATATATTGCTTATACTAGACCGGCTTTAGCATATGCAATTAATGTTGTCAATCGGTTCGTGCACAACAATTCATAATTATTCATGTGTATTCACCTAATAGATAGAAAGAGAGACTTGCACGATGTGGACAAAGGATTGCTATTCTGAAAAGGTGTGTTCTAAATTTATTATATAACCATTAATGTATCTTCACCTAATAGTTTAAGCCTTCAAAGAGTTGATCCATGACATGGTGTTAAAGCCTTTATGACCGAGTGGTCTAGAGTTCGATCCTTGACATTCCTATTTAAATTCTAAAAAGTTGAATTTAAGCACAAAGTAGATGGACGTATACATTATCCATGGTTCAAGCCCAAAGGACTTTTGTATCTAAGGGAACATGTTAGAAATGTAGTATATGACCATTCATCTATTTTCACCTAACAGTTTAAACTTTTTTCTGATTTGCTCCAAATTTGTTTCCCTAAATTTAGCTCTTTATTGGGAAAGTAATTATTCACATCAGTCTATATTTTGTATACATTTGTACATTAACATTCAAGTAAATAACATTCTGATTCAGAATTCCAAATTTCCTCTCTAATATTCTTCTTCTTTTCATTTTATTTTTTTTTGTTTAGAGTGTGATAGTAGTTAGTGTAGTTAAGCAAGCGAAGACTTGTTCTTGAGTCCAGATCTGAGTGTGATACTGTTATTTTGTGTTCTACAGTGTCTAGCACAAACATCTATAGTTAGAACTACTCTAACTAACTGTAACTGTCTGTAACTGACTAAAAGAGACTGATAGCTGTCAGTAACTGCACGCATGCAGAATACTGCTGTAACTGCGGAATGCTGTTTAAATACAGTAACGACTATCATATCCTAACATTTCCCTCTCAAACACAGGGTTGATGGATCAACGAAATTGATCATAAACTGAGTTTAATCTGCTGATAAATAGAGCCTTAGTCAGAATATCTGCACAGTGGTCTTGTGGTGGGATCTGGATAACCTTGAGAATTATATTTATCACCTTCTCTGTGTCCAATTCTATGTGTTTTGTTCTAGAACGAAGCACTTGATTATGTGACAAGGAAACTGTGCTGATAATTTCACAACCTTTAGCTCTGTAAGTAGAGTGAATCCATAAGATTTCAGCAGCTGTATATGATATACTCCTGTACTCTGCTTTAGTATTGGACCTAGCAACTAGTGACTATTTCTTTGACAACCAAGATGTGAGGTTTGGTACAAGATAAATGCATGATCCGGAGGTTGATCTCGTCAACATCAAGATTTGATGCCCAATCAGCATCTTAGTAGTGGCTTGGAGGAGTAGTGGTTGATAGGATTGGTAGTCTGCAACAAAGGACCATGGTGTAAGGTACCTGATAGAAATATAATATAAAATACAAAATTATTCATATATGCCTTCACCTAACATCTTAAACTTTTAGAAGAGTTGGTTGCATGACATGATATCAAAGCCTCTATTACCAAATCGTCCAGAGTTTGATCCTTGCCGTCCCTCATTCTTCTAATAAATATTGTGGAATTTCTCAGCACAAGTGAATAGATTTGTGTATTGTCCACCTTTTAAGCCCAATGAACTCTCGTAATGGGGTTAGGAGAGGAATTGACAAATAACACTACAAAGCTAATTTTAGGTCTAGTTTAGTGGCATATTGGAGAGCCCCAACAAAGGATCTGTATAGAGGATCTGAAACATGGTTAGTTTACAGTCTCCAACCATAAGGGGGGATATACCTCTCTGAGTTCTTTAATACTATCATTTTTTAACATTAAGGACGGGAAAAATAGGAATTTGCTTTTCCCTGCATGTTTTGTAACATTTCAAGCAGTTATTTTCCTTTGTCTTTGAGTCAACTTGTGTTAGATAAGAGTGTAATCTATTCCTGTTAAGTAGCATTTGAGGGATTTAGCATTCCTCATTACTTCGTCCACTTGTAGTCATGATCTTGATTTGATTAAGAGCTAAGAATAAAATTTCCTTGGACTTCTTCATTTCTTTCTTCATCAGTATTACCATTTGTGTAGTTATTCTTCCCATTTTGAAAGTACCTTTCTGTCAACAGGATTGAAAATCGCTCCATGTTCTTGCCCATTCGCTTTCGTCAAGTTGATGGTACCGGTGATTCCTGGCAGCTGCTTCTACCAAATTCTGCTGCTTCATTTCTGTGGGAAGATCTTGGTAGAAGACGTTTATTGGAATTCTTGGTAGATGGAACTGACCCAATGAAATCACTCAAGTATGATATTGATGAAATTTCTGATCACCAACCCGTCCATGTAGCAGATGGACCAACCAAAGCCTTGCGTGTTACTATTGTAAAGGAAGAGAAAATCAATGTTGTTAAGATCAGTGATTGGATGCCTGAAACTGAACCTACAGGCATTCTGAGCAGAAGATATTTATCATTAATGAATGATTCTCAAAAGCAACAACTTATGTCAATTACAGATTGTGAATTTCACATAAATTTTGATGTTGCTGAGCTTGGGATATCTATTATTGATCATACACCTGAGGAAATTTTGTACCTGTCTGTTCAGAATCTTGTTCTGGCATATTCAACTGGTTTGGGCTCTGGAATTAGTAGGTATGGTTTGCATTTTGTTAACAGCTATATCTTTTAATTGGTTAGAACTTAGAAGTTGGTTATTTTTCTTTCATTAACTATTTTCTCAAGTTTCCTAGTGAAAATAAGTTCAAATCCATAATCTAGTCTACCAATAAAACTTGGCCTCTTGCCTAGAAGATTTAATTTAAATTATTTTTCTGTCTGAGTATCCAGTTATATGCAATCATTTAGTTTTGAAAATACAATTTCTATTGTGTTCCAGATTTGAACTCAGAATGTGTGGTTTACAAGTGGACAACCAATTGCCGTTAACTCCGATGCCAGTTCTTTTTAGGCCACAGAGAGTTGTGGCAGAAACTGATTATATCCTGAAATGTTCCGTTACAATGCTGTCAAATGGATCGTTGGATCTTTGTGTCTATCCATATATTGGTCTTCATGTGAGCATCACCATGTTATAATTACTATTCAGCAAAAAAGTTGTGTCAATGATTAACTTCCTGATTTATTGTATGACTGGTTTCTTGTGAGCAGGGGCTAGAAAGTTCTGCTGCCTTTTTGATAAACATTCATGAACCTATTATTTGGCGCCTTCACGAAATGATCCAGCAGGTGAAGCTCAGTAGGCTGCATGATTCTCAAACAACTGCTGTATCAGTTGATCCAATCATTCAAATTGGGTATGCAAGACTCTCACTTGGAAATGCATGATTATCTGTGTTGGGTTCCTTGAAACTGCATATGACATTACCTTGAATTTCAGTGTCCTTAATATTTCGGAAGTTCGATTCAAAGTGTCAATGGCTATGTCACCAAGTCAAAGGCCAAGGGGTGTTCTTGGGTTCTGGGCATCCTTAATGACTGCGTTGGGTAACATGGAAAATATGCCTGTAAGTATTTTAATTTCTATCTAACTTTTTTTCACAAAATGATTAAATTTTGCTTAGAAAATAACAACCAAGTATTAGGCTCATAAAATAATATTATCTTACTCATGCTTGTAAAGAGAACTTGAAACAGATAAATAGATGTAACATAGATGTAATTGCATACATGTTTGACTAATTATGCAATAATCTCACTTTCTGATAGAGTTTGAGAATACAGGGAAACTGAGGAAAGTAAAGGAAAGTTAGGGAAAAGGAAAACTAAAGAAAATGAGAGAGAGAGAGAGAGAGAGAGAGAGAGAGACATGAACTGAAAACTGAAGCTAAAGTTGTATTACTGTCATAAGTGTTCTCTAAAAAAATACAATTAAACATGCCTAATTCTAGGAATGAAATCTGTTACAGAGTATTTCCTAACATAGAGATATAATCAGATTATTCACAAAATAGCACACCACAGTTTTCTCACGGTTAGAGCTATCTCTCTGACTTTACTAGAATCACTGACAACTTTCAGTTGAAACAGAAACTGCACTCAGATGTGCATAACAGATAGGAGACTAACTGAAATAATTTCCTATACCTCCTGGTATCTTCTCTGCATTTTAGTGTCAGAGATGTATCTAGAAATGCTGAGGATTTTTGGCATAACAAATTCTGAGATTTATGCCATTTGTTTTTTCAGTTTTGATTTGGAGAATATAATGAATTAGTGCTAATAATAAATGTGTACCTCTGAACCAGGTCAGGATAAACCAGAGGTTTATCGAGAATGTGTGCATGAGGCAAAGTTCTATGATTAGCATGGCTATCTCAAATATCCGGAAGGATCTTCTAGGCCAGCCACTTCAGCTGCTTTCAGGTGTTGACATATTGGGCAATGCAAGTAGTGCACTTGGACATATGAGTAAAGGTGTAGCTGCTTTGTCTATGGATAAGAAGTTCATTCAAAGTCGGCAGAGACAGGTTTGTGTATGCTGTTCTATGCAATTTTTCCATGATTCTCTTATTTTTAATCTGATAGACATAATATCCTTAGAGTATTAATCTTTAAATAAAAAACATGTTAACTGCAATCTGGCGGCTATCCTATTAACAGGAATTTTACACGGTTGGGGCTATTACCGGATACTAAAATATATAACCTTCGCACATATATCACACATAATAAAATTTCATACACAACAAACCTACAACTACCTAGGGATTAGGATTACCTGGTTTCCGTGTTTGCTACCTTCTAGAAGAAAATCGATTTGGGGGAGAGAAGCGGTTGGTAACCAAAGGAAAATAATAATAAAATAAATAAAAATTTGAAGTAAGAAGAAAGAGAGAGTAGAGGAGAAGAGGAGAAGAAGAGAAATACTAAGGGTTAGGCTAGGTCTCTATTTATAGCTGAAGTCTAGAGCTCAGACATGGGCTGGGCTTCGTACATTTATTTTCTTTTTCTTTTTAATTTCTTATGGCTCAGAATATCACTGACTCATCATATCTAATCAAATAAAGATTGTTAACTCATCATAATCCAATCACATTACCAATCAAACATTAATGCATAAAAGATCAATCAATTAATAATTCAATTAATCACAATTTATCATTATTCCTAATAATATATATATTATCACTACTAATTTATAATTTATTATTATTATTAATTTATAATTATTATAAATTACTATTATTTTTCTAGGATATTACAAAAATAAATGCCAAATCTATCTATCACAGCTACCACCACCATTACTCATTTAATTTAGCATATGATTAAATTATTTGGATAATGGGCAGGATGGACTTTCTTAAAAGAAATTTAACAGATCTAATCCACCCATTGGCCACCCCTAATGGAAACTGATTTTGTCAATCCAGCTGTTGCATTATAAGTGATTATCATGTTGATCTTACATGTCAAATTTTAGAAAATTTAAATAAATTTAAGTATGTGATCAAATGGTTGATTATTCTCTTTTCTTTGAAAAATTATAAGATTCCTTGATGGATGTAACATTGGATTAATTTGAATTGTTAACATAAGCATGAATTTGAGTTTCAATCTAACTCTGGATTTTGTATGAAATTCATTCAAATAAAAAAAAGATGCATAGGTTCTTATTATTTGATTCCTAATTGTCAAAGGATCCAAAATAAATGTTACATCAATATTTTGTCATAAATCAACCTTCTCAAAAGCTTAAGTTTTTTAGTGATAGCATATGAATGATTTTATAACTAACGCCCCCTCACATGAAAAAATTTTAGGGTTGAACCGCATCCTACCTTATGCTGAAACTTAACTTTTATTTAGAAGAACGGGGGTAACAATAATCGAACTCTGAACTACTTGATCATATAGGCTCTAATATTAAATTCTTGTGAGAATGCGCACCAAAAATAGAGGAGAAAAAAATCCTTTTTTTCTTGTTTTCTTAATAATAATCAATTGTTACAAAGGGTTAGGGGTTATATAGGCTGTACACGCCAAATATATCCTTAATATCAGGAACTATACAATTTTACAACAGCTATCCCTAGAAATCAGGAAATTCGACTATCTAAATAAATCTTTTCTATTTTTCACAGCTTAAGATGTAGAATGAAAGCACATGAGTTGTTTAATATCTAGCGTAATTTATTCATTTATAATGTTATGATTAACTTATAAAGTGTCACCACCCCTACATTGAAGGTTACTGAGCCCTTTGATCGTGTCCAGAGCAAAAATGACCAGTATATTATATTGAATTTGATAATAATTAATAAAACAAGTTTGCAAGCATGAGCTTCAACCACTAAACCTAAAGGTTGAAGTTTTAAGCAGCAACCTGGGAATACGGCATTGCTTCTCTTAGCTATTGCTTTGCCTGCCTTATTTTTGTTATTCCTAATTTTGCAGTTTTAAAAATATCAGGTCTTGTGTAATGCTTAGATAGGATGCTGATATCTATGTTTAATATAACTTTTTTGTGACAGGAAAGCAAAGGTGTGGAGGATTTTGGTGATGTTATAAGAGAGGGAGGTGGAGCATTAGCTAAAGGTTTATTCAGAGGGGTAACTGGCATTTTGACAAAGCCTCTTGAAGGAGCAAAATCTTCTGGTGTTGAGGGTTTTGTTCAGGGCGTTGGGAAGGGTATTATTGGTGCAGCTGCACAACCAGTGAGTGGAGTTCTGGATCTTCTGTCAAAAACGACTGAAGGTGCTAATGCTATGAGAATGAAAATTGCATCTGCTATAACATCTGACGAACAACTTCTGCGGAGGAGACTACCTCGTGTTATAAGTGGCGATAATTTGCTTCGACTATATAATGAGTACAAAGCTGAAGGACAGGTACCGCAGGTTCAACTTGCCATAGATCACAGACTTGAAGTTCATTTTGTCTTTTAGACGTTTGAGCTTTTAATTATAATATTTATATGATATATATTGAAACAAAGAAAGCTAATTCTCATTGAGGACTCTACTTCAGAGTAGTACTTTATTATTTATTGGAATTTTGGGATTCACTTCATCTTCTTTGTCGCCTGGTTTACTGACCATTTCTGACATTGGCTATGACTCTGAAACAGAGAATAACTATAATGTCAAATTTTCTTAGTCTATATAACTATAATGTCAAATTTTCTTAGTCTATATCCATGCAATTCTTGTCGCACCGTCACCTTTCTTTATTAAGATGATATTCACCCCCCAATCAACTAAACTAATTTCATCACGTTCCATAAACTTTAGTAAAGACACCTGAAACTTTTTTTTATAATACCTATTTTGAGCTTCAAGAGCTGTTATCCAGATATTGAGCAGCTAGGGAGAGTGAATTTCAATATGTGGATGGCCATTGTTATAAAAATATTTTTCTGTCTAATTTACTGTTTGTTAGTCCGATCAATGAAACGTGCCTTGTTTCCTTTTTCCCTTTTGGTTCCTGTATTTGTTTTGACTTTCTTTTGGGTGCTCAATTTCTAAACAATTGCCATACTTCTGTCATGAAGGTCATACTGCAGTTGGCAGAATCAGGTTCATTTTTTGGCCAGGTTGATCTATTCAAAGTTCGCGGAAAGTTTGCCTTATCAGATGCATATGAAGATCACTTCATGCTTCCAAAAGGGAAAATCCTCATGGTCACTCATAGAAGAGTCATACTATTGCAAGTACGTATTCATGATTGAGAACAATTACTAAAAATCCATTTTCTTTAATCCAATGTTACATGGTAATCTTTTGTTATTTTCAGCAACCATCCAATATTATTGCTCAGAGGAAGTTCAGCCCCGCAAGGGATCCATGTTCAATACTATGGGATATACTGTGGGATAACCTGGGTACAATGGAACTGACACATGGAAAAAAAGACAACCCTAAAGCTCCTCCATCACGGCTCATTTTATATTTGCAGTCTAGATCATTGGATATGAAAGAAAATGTTCGCATTATAAAATGCAGCCCTGAATCCCATCAAGCTCTTCAAGTTTACTCTTCAATTGCGCATGCATTAAACACCTACGGCCCAGGTGTAAAGGTATGTTCCTTTTTCATCATGTGTTTCATTAAACATTCATTTGTTTATTGCTATAGTTTATTATATGTGGTATCCCGTGATTGACTAACAACTGACCATGTCTAAAATGATGCGGGAAAATACCATGTCATAAACATGCTTACGCATCATATATTGTTCACAATATTAATCAGTTCTGAGTGATAAATTCTTTTGCATCGATATTCAGGGAATACCGAAAAATAAAATGACAAAACCATATTCTCCACTTGTTGATGGCTCTAGTGTTGATTTAACCCTGAAAGAAGGGGTTTACCCCTGGTCCCCCGAGCAGATGCCTGGATTAGCTCCTCCCTCTTCAACTTTTGGAAGCAGTGCCGATCCCCAGGATTGAGTTTCCACTATACATTGTTCATCACCTTCAACATAATCAAGGCCGTATCTTGAGCAGTCCAGCCGAAATTCTCTCTATAGTCTGATCTCATTCCTGCTCACATCCGTTCAACCAGTACAGACAGAGATGACCCCAGTTGCCGTTCAGCTTGAGAGGCATCTTTGTTTTGCATTTTCCTCACTATATTATCTGGAAGGATTGGGATGGTAATGCTGGTTTCTGGAACCTTATACCTATCTTATCTGATAATAACGGTTAGCTGGAGGGAATTGATTCAAAATCTATGAATGCTGAGTTACTCGATCTCTGAGGAGACAGTTTCCTTTCCGTCTCTGAGCATCATGTCCAATAGTTATTGTATAATATTGAAGGAAACAGTTTTCATTGTACATATATACAAAATCACACAGCTCAGATAGCACCCTGCTTGTCCCCGTCATGCCCTTTTCAAGTTTTCTATCTTTAGAGGAAAGGCCGGTTATGTACTGCTTTGTAAGTGGGAATACAATCTGAATTGTTTTCCTCCATTTGAGGAAACATTTTTGAAAATTTGCATATGCTCCGTCATTAATGAAAGTAACAAGGGATTGACGTTGAGCAGCAGTTATTTCTTCCCAGATTCGAATAAGCAAGCATTCACACAAAACATGCAACCTTATTACCAAAAATAAAATAAAATAAAATAAAACACCAGTTACAATAATGCTTGCAAGTAAATTCACTTGATTTTCACTTTATACCAATCCTGTTGATATGTTGGAACACAAATTCAATAGTCAGAAAATTGTGAAAAACATGATAAAAATAGGAAATTCTAAACCTGAGTTGAGATAGGGAATATATAATTAAATAAAAATGTGGAGATGGAAGCAAATTGCTTGCGATCATGTAGAAGTAAAACAGGGTATATAAAATGTAATTTTAGCAAGAGGGGTAGTATCAATAGTTTAGAGATTAAAATTAGAGATCATATCATTCCACGAGTTGAGGTTCAATAGTGTGATTTATCGTAAAAAAAACAAGAAAAAAGAAATGTAAATCATATCATTTCAAGCTGGGTGAATGAAATGAAAAAATGTCTTGGATGTTGCTTATGATCGGAAGAAGTCCAAAGCTTAAGGAAGCCTGCGATGCTGTATAGTATTGAAATGTTGGGAAATGAAGAACAAATAAAAGCATAAGCTCAGTGTTGCAGAGATGAGGGGTGTTGTGATGAATGAGTGAACATATAAGACAAGATATATTAAATAAGATAAAAATAAAATGAATGTATTAAAAAGAAATTTGAGGTAGCATCTAATGAGGAAAAAGTATAGCCTTGTAGTTGAAGTTAGAGGGGCACCGGAGAAAAAATTATAGAGGATAAAAGGGATATAAATCTGAATAGCCTTTTCATGAATTTGGTTCATAACATAACTCAATGACGTTGTTTATTCTATGTAGCCAGTTTCACCTAGTCAATCTCATATAGCGGGAAAATGCTATATTATTGTTGAATCATATAATGCAACTTATTAATAAAGTAATTAAAGATTCTACCTGTTTAATGAATGTTCACTAAAAGTGAAAAATATTATTATGCTAATGTGATTTCTTATTGTTGACAAATTAAATTGAAAATACATAAAATTTATTTTTACTAAACGGAATAAAAATCTAAAAAAAAAATTATGTGATACTAAAACTTTGAAGTTATAGTGAGATTAATCAATTTTATAGTGTAGGTTTCGGTTCAATAAGAAAGAAAAGCATTAAGGTGAAGTTCTGGTGCAATCAACAACAGCAATACCTTTATCTCAAATTAATTGGAGTCGGTAGTAGATGAACCCAAATGAAAGGTAAGAAGGTACTAAATGGAATAAAAATCTTAAATTTTTGAAGTTCAGGTGCAATGCGAAAGCAAAACATAATAGTTGAGTTAGTTTTAAAAATTGCGAGATTGACTTATTTTTTCCTCCAACTACACCGGAAAATGTCCTACAAATTATGCTTTCTAAAACAGATGAGATATTAATTTATGCCACCGATAGGGTTTTAACAAATTTTACGGTGCCTTTATTTACTGTTTTGTTTATTTTTTTCTCCTTATGATCCTATCGCATGAAAAATTCAAACAAAAATGATTCATTCTTTATTCTTGTTTCACAAATGTTTGATACGGGATGTGGTGGTCGATAAGATGTGTTACCTTTAATATGGTTCCAATATCATGATACGGGAAGACTAGTATCTTGGCAGATGATATGAATGGTGATTGATGAAGTGTTTTCCGTGAGAGAGGACGCAATGAGTGAATTTCTATTATTTATGTTCTTAGTTCTCAAGGTCACATCCTTTGTATGTATGTTTGAGGTTATCTTATATACGTGACTATGTATGTAGGGAGATGCGGCGGGTTAGGTCATGCTGTGTTTCGTGTTAGGGTGAGGATTTTGGGGGATTTTGTGTGGATATTGAATGTTAGGCGTTGGATAATAGGTAATACTTGATTTAATGGGGCCAAGGACATTTTTCAAATTACGACGGTGAAAAGAAGAGAAATTTATAAGTGTTATTGGATCAAGACAATAATTACTGATCAGTCCAACAGATGTTGCGCCTGACCGCATACAGTTAAGTCTAGTCCAATTGGAATCTAAGATGAATCTATAGCGGAATGGTCTTTGAAGCTAGATAGTCCTTTGGGATGGTTGTATTGGTGCTTAAGATCTTTACTTGGCTGGGAGATTATGGAAAGATACCTGCAAGGCACTCCGATACTTAAGTCAGCACCTGGTCAATGAGCTTAAGTTATGATTGATAAAATAATCTGGGCATTGAGCCTTCTTTGTATAGTCATGGCATGACCTAATTATGCCACCTTAGTACAACGACATTCAATATCATTGGTGGGTTCAAATGGCTTATGTAGCCTATCTCATTTTTAGGATGCCTATTTATGGTCTATGTTCTTTGGTCTAGCCGGAATCACATGTCTGTCCTTGAATTATTGGTGGTTGAGAAGGCTTAGAGGCTCTAAGCTGCTGTTATGGCATTCATATGCTTGTTCGATGATGTATATGTGGGATGAACACATTATCTTACTCCTTAAGCCTTTTTTACTAGGCCTCTTAGGCTATAAAATGGGTTGGATCTTTGATCCTGCTTAGTAGGTCCAAATTAGTTGCCCTCCACCCCAGATTAGAGCTTCACTTGTTGAAGTGTCGAGATATCAAAGTTAGGCTCTTAAATGTTCTCTTTTTCTTGATCATGCTTTAAATTTCTGTATGTTTATTTGGCATTCTATGAATCATCAATTGACAAGGGTGCCTTTTCCTTCAACTGGATGTTTTTGTCGTCTGAGATAAACTTCACTTGTGAAATGTTTTTAAATCTTCTTCACTTTCTAGAGATGTTTTTTCTTCTGAGATTTTTTCGTGAGATTTTTTTTTTTTGTTATCTTTTTCCCTTCTGAGATGTTTTTCAAGTAAACTTCTCTTATGGAGATATTTAATTTTGGCTTTACAAGTTCTTTTCCCTTATGAGTTGCTTTTACGTTAGGATACTCTTATAAAAAAAACCTAGAAAATTCTTCACGAGGTGTTTCCCTTATGAGTTGCCTTCACATTAGGCTACTCTTATAGGGAAACTTAGAAAATTCTTCTTGGGATGTTTTCCCTTCTGAGTTTCCTTTATATTAGGCTACTCTTATAGGAAATTAGAGAAAATTGTCGAGGGGATATTTCCCCTTCTGAGTTACCTTTACATTATTAGGCTACACTTATAGGAAAATTTAGGTTTCATTGTCTTTGCGAGATATTTTTCTTTCCGGGATGCATTTATTTAAACTTCCTTCATAAGAAAACTAAGGCTATATTGTCTTCGTAAGATATTTTCCTCTCTAGGACACCTTTATTTGGGCTTCCTTTATAGGAAAACTTAATCTTGATTGTCTTTGTGATACCATAAAGTTTAATTCCCTATGTCGACCCAATTTGTTACTGTTATGGAATACGACTTTCGATAATTAAATGCAAAATTATTCCTCTAAAGGTTACTTTTAAAGTCTAGCAGTGACATTATTCTAATCAATATTTCATATTCACAAGCCTACAAAAACATTGACAATTCCAACAGTCAAAGAAAACAAAAGTAGAAAATAGAGATAAAGTTCAAAATAATGAAATTTCCTTCACAAGAAATGGTAGCTAAAATCTAGAACAAACCTCACCTAAACCTTTACTTACCAAAAAAAAAGAAACTAGAACTGAGAATAATTTAGGCTGTCAAAAATTCAGAGATTTGGACCTGAAGAACTAGTCATCTAGGGCTTTCTAAAAACATATGGTTCATAATTTTTGGCTAAGCGAGTGAAGAGATATGAATTTTCAAAGTATAAGCTTTAACATACGGACTGGCCGTAGTGATTCCTTTCAAAACTGAGAATAATATGAGCTCAAAAAATTCTTATATTAGAGGTGTTTTCCTTTCTAAAATGCCTTTATTTAGGTAGGATTCTTTTTGATGGGGGTATAACTTTTTTTTATGTTAACTTTCTGTTTTCTTTGTATCTTCATCTTAGTTTGGCCAATCCAGCCTTGCAGAGATACGTTGAATAATAATCTTTTTGTAGATGTAGGCAACCTGCAAAATATGTGACATACAATCTTGCAAATATGATAACATTTATTAACATGCATTTAGTAAAAAGCTTTATGAAAAGTTGTAAGGAAATTCTTAAATTATCCTCCCATAGATATCATCAATATGATTGCAGGGCTGAAGGGCATCTTTATGGGATGAAATAACATTTTTGGCTTCGAAATACATATCTACTATATCAGAAATTTTTGTGGGTCAAAAATCATTTTTCCTCCTTATAGCTTATGCTTTCATTTCAGTATCGACACAGGATCATTTGTAATCTTCTAAGTTGATGTACTTTTCTGATCAGGCTCTAAATTCTTCCACAGGAAAGACTTATGTTTTGCTAGGGAGGTAAAGGAAAGTCTTTCTTGTAGGCCATCAATAATCAAATGTAAGGAGACATATGGATCCAAGTTCTTCACCAATAAAACTTCATTAAAAAATCAATTCATGTAATCTTGGAAGGATTTGTGGGATCCTTGTTTGACATCCTTTAATGCATTGGTGGACTTGTACTACGCCTTGCGTATTGCAAATCTTATTTCGAACTGGTGGGATAAAATATTTCTAGTCATGAACGAAATTCAGTAATAAAGAAGAATACCACCTTAAGGCTACCTTTTTCAAAATAGTTAGGAACAATATATAGCTGATTACGTTTGGAATTTCCTGAGCCATCATATTGGTACGAAATTGTTTCGAGTGCTTGTGTGGATCGTCTTTTCCTCTATAATTTTTAGTGGAGATTTCGATATCCTTCGACATAAGAATATCCATAATCTCTGGGATGAATGGATAAGCCACTTTTGAAATGGTCTTTTGGACTGGATAAGAGTTTTAATCTACCAAATGCGAAGAGATTTGGCCATGATGTGGATGAGGGTTTTTAGGTTCTTTTTGTTTTGGATTGGGTTACCTTCGAGATTGAGCTTGTTCTTCATTATGGAGAGACTACTGGACATTCTCATTAGAACATTCAACTAGAAATGATTGATGTTTCTCAGTGGTTTATCGTTGTATTTTCTTGAGTTCAGGCAATTCACTTTCTTGATTTTTCAACCTAAGGTTTTGCTGCTTTAGGGTATCATGGATTTGGAGGTTGGTAGTCATTAGTTGTTGGTATGGAGTTTGGTCATTTTGAGGTGGTGAGGTTGGGGTTACATATGTTCTTCCTAGGTTTAGATTTTGGGATCTATTCTAGGATTTGATATATTACTCTTGGTATTAACCATGTTTTTCAAAATTTTGGAGTGGAAATAAAAATTTACAATTTCCATAGACGACGCCTATGATCGGTCCAAGAGATGTTGGGTCTAACCATACACGATTGAATCTGGTTCAGTTGGAATCCGAGATGAATATGCAGCAAGATGGTCACGGGATACTCCTTTAGAATGGTTGTACTAGTGCTTGAGATTTTTGCTTGGCTGGGACAGATAGAAAGAGGTACCTGCAAGATACTCAGACGCTTAAGTTAGTACTTAATCAATAAGTTTAAGTTATTTTTGATAAGATGATCATGCATGGGCACTGAGCTTTTTTTTATATAGGGATGACATGATCTACTTATACTGCCTTAGTACGATGTCATTCTATCCTACTGGCGGGAACAAGTGATTTTTGCAGGATGCTTGTTTTATGAGTTATGCTTCTTAGGTCTAGCCAGAACCACATGCATGTCCATCAGCCATTGGCTGCTGAGGAGGCTTAAGAACTCTAAGTTGTTATTCGTATGCTTGCGTGATGAACACGTTTTCTTACTCCTTAAGCCTTCTTTATTTGGCCTCTTAGATTGTAAAATATTTTGGACCCTAGATCCTACTTAGTATAGGTCCAGGTCAATTACCATTAATCATTTTGAATAATCATGTTATTCATAGGTTAATAAATATCTAAAAAATAATTGGTTTTTAACTTTTGTTACAGACCCTTCATAAAGACCCACACTCTAGAAGGCCCAAGAAGGGCAAATAGCTAAGAGAAGAATTAAAGAAAATATCATTAATTATACTAATTCTAGTGCGATAGCAATGGATCAAGCATTGGACTCTCAAAAATCCACTACCCATAGATAAACTCTATAAATAAAAGGTAAAACCTACAGGTACGTACACTTTTGAACTCTCTATCTTATATGTCACTTTACACACACCACATCCTTTGACTATGATGTTATCATAGTGCACAGTGATTCATTATTTTCTAAAGTACCTCCTTTATATGCACCTGAGAGAAGGCATCTAAATCCTATAGAAACATATCAATCGTTGATTGGATGTCTCAATCCAACAAGATAGAACAACTTTATATATTGGTTTAAATCCTGAGGGGTGGCACAACTAGTAAGCGAGTTTTGCAAGAAGCAACCCAGGAATTGAAAAGTTTTTTATTCAATTCTTAAGCTAAATAATTTGGAGTTGATGGCAAAAGACATGAATCTTCACTCTTTACACCAGAAAGGGGATTAATTTCCCCCAAATAGATGAGTGGGGATACCGCTGAAAAAAATGTTGGATTTAATTAATACATACAATTTGTGAAACATAATTTTTATGAATTCCTTGCGACAACAAGAGTTAACAAATCTAAGGAAGCATCATTCGCTTGTTATTCAGAACATTATCGCAATTAGTAATTAGAGTGTACATACTGAATCTAAGACACTCCATTGAAGTTTTGTTAATTGCCTTATTCAGCTCACTTCCTGCATTTAGCAAAGCATGAGAGATGGAAAAATTAAGAAATATAGGACAATATTGATTAAAACGTGATTTTATTAAGGAAAAAAAAAGAGAGGAAGATGAAGGACAATATTTAAAATCAAAGCCAACTTTGAAAGTTAAGAAGTTAAGAAAGTGAAGAAAAATGAAAAGTTGAACATGATTTAGTTAACTATGATTAATTTAATTAATATGCCATGATAAATTTATTACTTGACAAAATCTTGAAATTTAGATAAAAATTCATTGCATCCTATCTAAGTCAATTTCTTTTTACAATGTCATCTTTTATATATCTATGTACATAGGCTCTTTCACCCATTAGAGGTTTTTATTCCTTTAATTTACCAATTTGGTATATGGTTCAAGGTATTTACGGACGGGGGTCATTTAGTGACGCGAGGGGACCCAGCGTCACTGAGTGCCGCTACCAACCCCCCGCGTCACTCACAAATTTTTATTATTTTTTTACTTTTTTCTATTGAGTGCCGCCCCCCTCCCCTGAGGCACTCACAGAATTGTGCCAAGTGACACAATCTGGTTACTCTTATTACCGTAAAACTTCGGAAAGCCATAACTTTTGACTCGGGTATTCAAATCAAATGATTTTTTTTATTTCACATAATTTTTCGAGATCTACCCAATGACACCTCATTTGATATATTTTACCTTTCATTAATATAGTTTAAATTTGCAACACTAATTACACTTTTTTACATATTTGAATTATGTTTGTGAGAGATAAATTATGTTAAATGAGATGCCATTGCGTAGATCTCGAAAAGTTATGTGAAATCAAAAAAAAAATCATCTGATTTGGATACCCGAGTCAAAAGTTATGGCTTTCCGAAATTTTACGGTAATAGAAGTAATCAGATTGTGCCACTTGGCACAATTCTGTGAGTGCTCCGGGGGAGGGGGGGCGACACTTAATAGGAAAAAGTAAAAAAAGAAGAAGAAAAAGTATGAGTGGCGCGAGGGGTTGGTAGCGGCACTCAGTGACGCTGGCCCCCCCTCGCGTCACTAAATGGCCTCCATTCGTAAATACCTTCAACTAAATACTAAATTGATAAATTAAAATCATAAAAAAGCCCAATTGGTCAAACAGCCTATGTACATACGTAGAAAATCCACTTGCTCTAGGAGTGACTCTTGTCGAACCTGTTGTTTTATAATATTTTATAGATCTTGAAAATTAAAATTGTAATTAAGTAGATCAAGTGTACAAATTCTGATATCATTTAAAAATTAGTTGATACTTCATCGAACAATTTCATTGCAATGTATGATATACTTTTTAAAATATAAGTAAGTATTTATTATGAAATTATAATATGTATATGGGATTTACATTTGTTATTTAACATGACACAATAAATTTTTTTACACACACAACATTTTGTGGGGTCCAATTTTTTGAAGAAAAAAGAAAATTACGGCACACAAAACGAATCTCTATAAAATTACACAATCATTTTTCCTACAACATAACTCTTATAAAATCCTATGTGTATATGTCTATTTGTCTAAAATCAAGTGTGTATGATCAGTATAATAATATCAGAAAAATTCAACGGTTAAATTTATTAAATTTATATTTTATAAAAAAAAATATAAAATATATAATGGATCAGGTATAATGCATATCACAACACTTAAACAAGTATTACTTTAGAAATCCAAAACAAAATATCCGGGTAAATCGCCATACTATGTGTACGATTTAGCGGATAATAATTACCTAGGCACCTTGATTTTCCGTACCACACTAGTTTCCATTCCGACAACATATAAATCGCTAAAATAACAGTGCCATGTCCTAAAACCACACGACGTCGTCTAGTTTGTTTATCTTATAATGCTGTTGGCTGTTTTTAGTTTAGCTTATGTTCCGAAATATCAAAAATCAAAGTCAACAAACATTATTTTTCTATTTAAAAGGAAAAATATTTATTCTCTTGATATAATTTATATTTTTTTACTTTCGTAAAGAGAAATAGATAGTACTCACATCTTTATTTTATTTTTGTCAATTCTCTTTTATTTTTTATCTATATCTTTCTCTCTCTTATAAAGACACAATTTTATCTTTTTTAAAATGACATACAATTTTATCTTTATTTAAATAATAAAATAAATATTACAGTACTGAGAAATAGTTGATTTAGAAAATGGGAATGGTGTTGTTGATGGATATGCTCAGTATCAATGTCCCAGTTGTTACTCGTTCACATCAGCAACTGTGACTTTGGAGCATTTCGAAGCCCTCAATGGTGAGTTATTCTTAGCCATCTCCATTCTCCACCATCTTCAAATCTTGTTTTCTTTGTTTTCTCAACTGCTCTTTTCAGTTCATAAAGAAGAAATGCGTGGATTAATAGGTTACATATAATCATATATGCGGATCTTGCGCTTTTCTAGACTTATTACAAAAACAAAAAACAAAATTGCTCATGCCCAGAAGATTTAAATTCTGTCTACTCTATACCTAAGCACTGAACTTATTCTGGAGCGTTTTTTTATTTTTGGAATACAGAACTTAGGAATTAGGAACTCAAATACTGGTAGTGGTATCCTTTACTTGCAATTAACTTTGCAACTTAAAAATTAATAACTCATGTACTAAAAAAAAAATATTAATAACTCAACTAGAAGTAGCCCTTCAGTTAATTTTGTTTCTGGGAATAGAAAGATTCAATATGCTGAACTCTATTCACTTCTTGCATTTTCTCTCTATTCTCGAAAGTGAACACTGCCTTGCAAATAAATTACTCATGGTCTTAATACATTTTCAGTATTTGAATATGTTATTCTCATGTTCATCAGCTCACACACCATGCCTTATGGTATGGGATCCCCAATGCGAAGTGTGAAAGTCCTAGCCTAGAGCACTAGACATGGCCCCTTCCCCCATTATCTGTTGCAAAAGGACATAAAATGAAGGCTAATGCTAGTTCAGCACAGTCACTGAATATTCTCCACAGATTACATAACGTGAATTTAACTCTGTCAATTAGCTTTCATTCTTTCTTTACACAGTAGGTAGTGTGACTATTTTTATTCATTTTATAGTGGAAGTTATATAATGTGTCTGCAGAAACGACTATGTTTAGTTCAAGGTTTACTGAAAATGAAGAAGTGGTATGGAGGCCTGTTGATCATGGTTCTGGGTATGATGTTGATTCTCCTCTATAGCCTTAAAGGAATTCAGCCACAGAAGCAGTCAGCAAAACAGTCAGCGTACAGTTTCTTCAATAACAATTCACCAAATGATTCTATTAAAGGAAGCAGCAATCTTCCGGTAAACTCTTCTGATGTGGAACTGAAAAGAGTACCAAAACCAACAGAAAGGCCACATTTGATACATGTTGAAGGGCTTGATGATCTGTTTGACGTGAACAAATTATCTAAAGGAGAGATGAACGCTGTGCTTGTTTGGACTTCCTTGCATTCCTTGCTGTCGAGGTCTGATTCTTTGCCTGAAACAGCTCAAGGAGTTAAAGAGGCTTCTGTAGCATGGAAAGAGTTGCTGTCAACCCTTGAAGAGGACAAAGCCTCTAAGATTAGTAAGATAGACAGCCCAGAAAATCAAAACTGCCCATTCTCTGTGACCACAATTGGTAAGACAGTAGCGGATAGCGGAATCACTCTTGATATCCCGTGTGGTCTGGTTGTAGATTCTTCTGTTACACTAATTGGCATCCCTAATGGGCAAAACAGAAGCTTTCAGATTGACCTTGCTGGGCAAGAGCTAGAAAAGGAGCCAAGTCCTCCAATTATCTTACATTACAGCGTGAGTTTTCCTGGAGAAAACATTACGGAGAAACCATATATTGTTCAAAATACATGGACTGGTGATTTTGGTTGGGGAAAAGAGGAAAGGTGTCCTGCTCGTGGTTTTGCTAACATCCAAAAAGGTATATTTAGTAAGAATATCAAGTGATAATCAGTTATAGACTTTTAATTATTTAATTAGTCTGTGCTGCACACAAATATAATGGATAAAAAGCATTTTAAACTAGATATGTCGTCTTTGTCTTGTACAGGATATAAAATAATGATTTTGTAACTCAGCTCAGGCAACACCTCATTCCATGCTTAAGTGGCCAAGTTTGTTACGCTTCAATCATATAATAACAAAAATCTCTTTCATTTTGTGTTATTATGCTTCTTTATTATTCTCGAGTGCAATTTTTTAAGAGGGAGGCTTACAGTAAATTCTAAATTGTCTAACTGTATGTTGTAGTTGATGGACTTGTTCTTTGCAATGTACAAGTTGTCAGAAGTAACAACGAAGATAATGTAAATGTGGGTCAACCTACTAGTGATATACCTTCTAATATTTCCTCAGAAAGTGCACATAGAACTGCCAATTTCCCCTTTGCTGAGGGGAATCCTTTCACTGCCACGTTGTGGGTTGGTTCAGAGGGATTTCATATGACTGTGAATGGAAGGCATGAAACTTCTTTTGCATATAGGGAGGTATGGTATGGTAAGAGAAATACTGCTAAAAACAAAAAAAGTTAATAGTAATTGTCGATCCAACCTTGTACAGTTTTTGTGGATGCAGAAGCTTGAACCATGGCTAGTCAGCAGCATTAAAGTAGCAGGCAGTTTAAGTCTCTTATCAGTCCTGGCTAAAGGCTTACCTGTTACTGAAGATAATAATGCAGTTGTTGATGTTGAGAAACTGAAGGCTCCTTCTATCCCCAGAAAAAGACTTGTTTTGTTGATTGGAGTATTCTCTACTGGAAATAACTTTGAGCGTCGAATGGCCCTGAGGAGGTCTTGGATGCAATATGAGGCTGTACGTTCTGGAGAAGTTGCTGTCCGATTTTTCATTGGGCTTGTAAGTAAGGCATTTCAAACTTGTTAAAGTTAATCAATACATTAAAATAATTCTTGTTCTAGTTTATGCACAAATTTTGCAAGAAGAAGAATTTTGTTAAAGCTCTCTAATCCTACTTTCCTAGTTATCTTTGCTTCCCTTTGGTTAAAAGAAAAAATAGATGAAATTGGCTGGTTTATAAATGAAATTGGTGAGGTGTAAATTGTAATTGCTGAACTTATCAACCATCATTGTTATATGTATAATCTGTTAATGGTTCTCCAAGTTAAGCCTGTGGCATCATTTCATGGGTCTTATTAAATCAATTTGCAAGGTAGTTTCATATAACATGATCTTTTTCTTTAATTTTTCTTTTACTTAGGTCTTAGGTGGGGAGGAAGTGCTAGTGGCATATTAATTGAGAAATATACTCAATATGCTGAATGACTATCTGACGTGATTGGGATACTATCTGTGATATTTGAATGCTGAAATCAGATTCATTATAAAATGAATTGTATAATTCTCTTAAGCACAAGAAAATTGTGATTTGTGAAGACTGAAATCAAAGCGGCCACACTCTGTCTAACCCACCAAAAAATGAATTACTCAACCTAGCATTTTTTTTTTCTTTTAATTTTTTCCTCTCTTGTTAAAAAACTGTTGAGTGACATTTTATTGTATCTGATTGCAGCACAAGAACAATAGAGTTAATTATGAGTTATGGAGTGAAGCTCAAGCATATGGAGATATTCAGTTAATGCCTTTTGTTGATTATTATAGTTTGATTTCTTTAAAGACAATTGCAATTTGCATTATGGCGGTAAGTTGATTATGTTACACAAAGAAGGTGCTGGAATTTCTATTGTTTATTTGCTAGTCAAATTAATCTGAGTCAACTGCCTAAGAAAGTATGGTACAAAAATCTGTTAGTCTTTTACAGTAATCAATTGTTTATAATACATCATTGTAAAGAAAACAAAGAAAAAATACCAAAACATGAAAATAATTTTCAAATCGTGATGAGTCAAAATCTTGGATCTGCATGAATTGTGGTTCTATATTGGTCTCATTGTCTATTTCGTATTGTGACTTGATTTTGTAAATGCCAGTTCACTTTTAGTTCCGCGAAAGCACTCTGTTATGGTTTCTGTTAGAAAACATCTTAGACGTGTACACATGCAGTGTACTCTGCATTTATCCTTGCATTTTTGCGAAGAGACTTTTTTTATTTTTTTGGTTACAGCAAAGAGACTTTCTTAGGTTTGAACCTGTGAGGTCACAAAGGAACAATTTTATCGCTGCTCTAAGCTCATTCTCTTTATTTTTGTAATTATGATTGTAATCAATATTTTACTAGTATAAGTATATGAGTGTGGTATGATTAGACTCACAATTCCAATAATACTCTCTACTTTCTAGAGTGGTAGTAGTTGGGCCCAATGATCAACTTCTCAGTTCCCTTCCATGTGATGCCATGATGTATCTATTTTTTTGCATTAATTTCACATCGGTGCCTTACAGATTTGCTTTAGGAGAAATGTAATCTGGGACTTAATCTATGCATATGGATCTGGATGGACACTGATTTGGCTTCGAAATATTATGACACCTTTGTTGAAATTATAGGGTTTAGGTATAGAGGGAGGAAAAAGAATACTCAAAATAATAAAAGGGAAATATTACTCACCTTTCACATGAGATATCATCTCTCATTTTCTCTCACTTCGATTTTCGTACCCCACTTTTTTCTTTTTTTTTTTCTTTTTTCTTGTAATGGTGGGACCCATCTATTTTCTCTCTACAACATAAGATAACTATCTTATGTTACATGAGACTAATAAAACCCATAATAAAATTATATTGATATTGTCATAAAGGATGTAAAGAGGGTGAGCTTGGAGTAGTGGTAAAACTGGTTTTATATGACCGAAAGATCATGGATTCAAATTTAGGAAATAGCATCTTTGTAAAAATTCAAGGGATTTCTCTCACCACTACTTACTTCTATTTATGATCAATATTAGACCCTTAATCCTAATTAAAAAAGGAAAGTAATCATGACATATATGAAACTTGGAAAGCACTCCTAAGATATTATCTACAATACTTAATTTATTCTTAGATACAATAATGATATTTTGAGATAATGGTACTAGTTTAAGATACAGTAAGTTAGTTGTAACAGGACCATAATGATACAGCATTATGTTGAAAATTTTTATGCAATGTCGAAAATTTGTGGTAGTATTCAGTGTCAATAGAATTGATCAGCAGAATATTTGGCATTATTTGTGCAGATTTGTAATTATATCCTTAATTAATTAGCCAGCTGTAGGTTATGATTTGTAATTATATCCTTAATTAATTAGCCAGCTGTATGTTATGATTGTGTAATTATATCCTTAATTAATTAGCTAGCTGTAGGTTATGATTGTATAGTTATGATTGTGTAATTATATCATACTATTTAAATGAGAATTCTCCAAATGAGAACATAAGGTTTTATCCCAATTTCTCTAAGTTTAACATTCAGTTCTCTCTCTCTTCTTTTGGCCGTTTACTTTCTCTGAGCTACTAAACAAGTTTTTGTATTAAAATTGCAGACAAAAATCATCCCTTCTAAATACATCATGAAAACAGATGATGATGCTTTTGTTAGGATTGATGAAGTGCTTTCCAGCCTCAAAGGAAAGCCGTCCGATGGCCTCTTGTACGGTCTCATATCTTCGAAATCATCTCCTCATAGGGATAAAGGCAGCAAATGGTACATCAGTGAGAAGGTATTGATCTCCTTATACTGCTATTAATAAATTATAATGGCATTTTTCTCCCTCAAATCTATTTTGTTTTTATTTATTATCACTATTATTATTATTTTAGGAATGGCCACATGCTACATACCCACCGTGGGCACATGGTCCTGGCTATGTCATCTCTCGAGACATAGCAAAATTCATTGTTCACGGCCACCAGGAAAGAAAACTCAAGGTAAGAATTTCTTCTATCCCATCATGGGATGGGAAATATAAAACTTCAATGAATATTGTAGAATCTTTTGGATAATTCAAGGATATGCTGTTAGAACCTATTTGCAAGATATGGGACTTGGAGTCCCACATTGGTTGTATGGACAACTAATGTGAGGTTTATAAAGCCTTAGACATTCTCACTCTTTAAGCTAGCTTTTGGGATAATGCATCCAAAGGTTCTTATCAAATGATATTAGAACCTTCCACTATGTCTCCCGGTTGAAATCGAGCGGCGCAAGTGGTGACGCCGGCATGCAGTGTTAGCTAGGGCTAGTAAAAACTAGTGCAAAGTTGCAAGATATGGGACTTGGAGTCCCACATTGGTTGTATGGACAACTAATGTGAAGTTTATAAGACTTTGAGCACTCTCACCCTTTGAGCTAGCTTTTGGGGTGGTGCATCTTAAGATTCTTATCATATGCTGCATAAGTTTTTTTTTTTTTTTTAGTGTTAAACGGTTGCCACATCCTTTACTTGATTATTGGGATTGGGAATAAAACCTCACGCCTGTATCCACAATTTTCCTGGGACTCATTCTTTAAAATCAAGTGGAACTATACAAGTATTATCTTAAAACAGATATGGGTGTATTTATAAAGGGAAAATAGTTTTTCCTTTTAAAGAACTTAAGTTTTGTCCTTTCACCCCCTTATAATTATGTACTCAGGGGAGTACATAATTATATTTTTAAAATTGTACTTTTTTCTCTCTTCAAAAACTGTTGGCTAAAGTGAAAAGTAAAAAAAAGTACAACTTTAATATTATAACTATGTACTCTCCGGAGTAGGGGTGTTCATCAACCGATTCAAACCGCGAAAACCGAACCGAAAAACCGATAACCGAATAAACCGAAAACCGAAAAATCGGAAACCGAAAGAAAACCGCAAATTTTAATTGGATTGGATCGGTTTTCGGATGGGTTGATGAAAACCGATCCAATCCAAACCGATCCAATATATTAATTATCCTCTACCTACTTGTCTTTTCTCCAATGATAGCCCAAAAATTTCTAAACTCAAGACCCATTAACTCATCAACTAAACCCAAAAAAAAAACTTAGTCACGTCTCATCAACTATAGTATTGTTTACTGATATTTTTGTATTTCAAATTTTTTTTTTACAAAGCCAATATATACAAAAGATGTTATTTGCACAATAATCATGAAACTAATTTTAGGATATTCAAAAAACCGAAAACCGATCCAATCCAAACCGAAAAAAATTGGATTGGATCGGATCGGATTTGAAAAAAAATCTAAACCGAATGGATGATTACATGATCAAACCGAAAGGATTGGATCGGATGAGTTTTGCTTCCAAAACCGATCCAATCCAGACCGCGAACACCCCTACTCCGGAGTACATAGTTATAAGGGGGTTAAAGGATATAACTTAGATCCTTTAAAACGACAAAACGTTTTCCTATTTATAAAAAAAAAAAAAAAAATTCAATTGCCATCATTGCATTATTTTGGGTTCTGTTTAAGTGGATATATTCTTCTGGTCGCCGTGCTATATCTGTCATCATTGAATACAAAGTAAAATTGTACTATTTGTTTTTTTTAATCTCATTTTATGTAAGATCACCTTTATTTAACCGCCCAAATTTTTTTATTCTTAGCTCTTTAAATTAGAAGATGTTGCCACGGGCATATGGATTGAACAGTTCAAGAATGGTGGTAAAGAAGTGCATTATGTGAATGATGAGAGGTTTTACAATGCTGGATGTGAATCAAATTATATACTTGCCCATTATCAAAGCCCAAGGATGGTGTTATGCCTTTGGGAGAAATTGCAGAAAGAACACCAGCCTGTATGCTGTGAGTAGATATCAATGTTTTTGAGTTGTAACTTTGTTGTTTCTGAGGTTTGAGCATATTTAAATGTTTAGGTTATATGTTTGTTATCACTAATCATCTTACACGTATTTTGTATCTTATTATTCATTGATTTATTCATTCATTATAATCATTTCAGTAGAATGAATTAGTATAACACGATAAAATTCTTTTGCATGAAAATACCAGTTATATATTTCCTGTTAATTTGTTGTGGCATTCTGGTACTGAATATTGAAACTCTTGATCACTCGAAAAATAAAATGAAAACATTGTGTTACACTAACTTTCCTAACCCAAAATTCTATTCTATCCTAGTCAGAACAACAGCAGAAACAGGTTTTAAATCAAGCTTAAACAATAGCCAATGCTGAAGTGGATTCTAATTCCCCATGAGGCATTATATTTGATGTTTAATTATTGATGAGGTTATGTCCAGCTAGACATACATAATTGTACTTGCAGGTAAGTTGTAATAGTACTATACTATGTATTAATACTACAATATTATAGCGTTTTTTTTAGTATAATTATACTAAAGAATACATGTCACCCCAAAATAAGGGTCCTCTATCTTGTACCTTTACAGTTTACGTTGTATTAGAATGAGTTTTACAGTGTGAGGCCTAGTTGGCACATTGTGTTCTATGTGTGTATATTTTACCTGCAGTGCAGGATTTCAAAAGAATTTTTGTAGCTAGGGTTAAGCTGATGTTGGGGTACTTCTGGTTCTGGGTCTTATTATTATTATTAAAAAAGGAAACTGAGTTTCACATGCATCAACAAGCATTCAAGCTTTCATATTTGAGGCTTTCCACCTTTAGTTTTAGACACAAGCCCTAAACTTTAGGTCGCACCCATCTAAAATCAATGGTAAAAAGAATTTTTCATGCACCTGTAAGGATTTCTCATATGTGGTCGTGACTCTTGGATTTGAACTTAATTGCAATTAAATATTGGTCTCTCGATATCATACAAAATCCGAAATTAAAAAGTGAAAAATAAAAGAGGGGGGTGGGTTGCGGGACAGAATATTATGAACAATATACTTTGTGGTCCACAATTATTGTGACTCGCGCTGTGGCCAAATTGTGTGGAATCAGATTAAAGAAATTATTTGTAAGTGATTAAAAAAAAAAAAAAAAAAAGTTGAGGGGCAAGCTGTGCGATTGGTTTTGGCTTTAAACACTTGAATGGGAATTGTTACTGTAATCAGATGCGCTTAAAACTAATTACATGTGGCTAGAGTCAAAAGCAAATTTGAAGTGTCCAATAACACCTCGTGAGTCGTAACTAAGTGTACCACTTACGGAAAGGTACTTTATGAATAAGATATATTTAGAATAGGATTGAAATGGAAGATATACTTAGATGGGTGCTTCCCATTGGTTTTTTTTCAATGAAAAAAAGTAAAACGAAGACTTTTTTGTGTGGGCGTGCATTGAATTTAAAGCCAGTGCACCCTCCAATTAAACGTGTGGGAAAATAAGGAGCAATTCCTTCTTCTGTTTGTCTTGGTTGAGTACCTTGCCCGTTATAGCTTATTTAGTCTATTTGGAAAGCGTGCTAAGTTCTAAAACCACACGCCTTTTATTTTTCTATTAATTTGTGTGGATGACTCAATGAGGCACGACTAATAATCGAATTTTACCTTTAAAATATCTAAAGATCATGCTCAAAATTCACATTTGGATAGGTGATACGCCGATAAGGATCTGATCAAAGATTAGTCGAAGAAATAACCCTAGTTACAAGATGTAAGTATTACTTAATAAACTTTTCCATAGAAATGGTTAACCCATTTAACATCTCAAAACATAAAATTATATATTTAGTACCGAAGGTTATTAAAGCAAAAAAGAAAAAAAGCTTGCCTCTCTTGGCCCTTTATTTCGAATGCATCTATGTAAATTACGCATCACCATTTATATATTTCTTTAATCTTAAGTGAATCATCAAATTATGATATCAGACATTAGGACACAATGGGATTCCAACATTAATTCAACCATAACACCACTCATAAAATTCTTAAGTTAATTTAAAAGTCCTTCTAAGATATTATAAATACCATTGATGCATTAATAACCTCCCTTTGAATTGATCCAAATAGACCTCCTTTTCAATTAATTAATCCAAATAGACCTTTTATACATGGATTAGGATCATCTAATTTCATTTATATTTAAGACTTTAATTATTAATTAAGTGAGTCATTTTATACAAGTGAGCTAATGATTAAGAATAAGTATAATCTGTAGGAATTAAATAACCAAAACGTATCGATAGCTTGAGCATAAAAAATAAATTAAAATAATCATACACCTTTACACAAATATCACCTTACATGTATACAAGTTTATCATTTTCTTAAAACTATTATTATTAGGGATCTATTAGTCTCCTTCTAAAGGAGATAATACTTTTTACTGCAGACCTAAAAAAGTTGTGGGTCCATTCATATATATTTTTTTCTTTTAATCGGACCCGCTGCTCACTTGTATCTATCGCTGGAGATAAAAAAAAATCTGTAACAGAAGACAAATAAAGCCCTTATTATTATGGTAAAATCAATTCTGCAGCTACTTTACGCTTACGTACAGCAACAACAAGTGTATGACTATGATTCTCCACATTTAATGCTTTCATCCTTTGTATGATCATAATTTCTCGTATTTAATGCTTTCATGTATATATATGACAAGTATTTGATTGTTGCACATACTGTAGCTGCAAAAATGTAAACCCCTATTATTATTATTATTGTTATAATATATGGTCAGTATCAATTTACATCAGTACGGGCTACACTGTCGATTTTGAATATAGATTATATTTATATCTAACGATTTCCTTACAATTATTTTGTTATCATTAAATCAAAATCAAATTAACAACTATTATTTGATGTCATTTTATAAATGTTGATTTGATTTTAATCCCATGAAAGAGCCAAAAAGAAGTAGATTATATTTATAACCTTTTTTTTTCTTACAAACATTTTGTTATCGTTAAATCAAAATCAAAGTAATAGCTATTATTTGATGTGATTTAATAACCATTATTTAATTTTGATTCAACGATTAAAAATATAGTTGTAAGGAAAAATAATTATGTGTGTGTGGACAATATCAACTAATATCAATGTAGGAGTAAGTCTTGCACTTTATCTTAATCGTTGATTATGGTGCATCATACGACTATAATTTATTAGATTATATTAATTAATTAATTATTAATTTTTAATAAATTACAATTGATGCATAAAAGTTAATAGTTAAAATTAAATGTAAGACCTCTGCCCGTGTAAGTTAGTTCTATTTTTCTTTAATTTTGTGTCCTTACACAAATATAAAATGTACCTATTGCAAATATGCACTAAACATTATAATAAAATTAAGAAAGAGAAATGGTATCAATAATCAATCAAATATTTTATATCCATCCATATCCACTACTTTTGTTATTGGGACATTCATCGAATTGCCCTTTTTTTTTTTTAATAAAATATACTTGAATGTCACGGAGTTAAAAAAAAAAAATTCAAACTGCCATGGTATTATAGTCGCTGAGATAGTTAGTTACTATAGACGGGACACATATCACTTTCTCAGGGGCTAGAAACCAAAGTAGCTGACTACTTCAATGACTTTGGATTACGTGTCTTGTTCATAGTAGCTAACTACATAAGCGACTATGGTGTCGTGACAATTTAGAAAAAAAAATCGACTATATAACTGTAATACCCCATATTTTTATTAACTTTAACCTTATGTCTTTTAGTTAATTTGAGGAGTTCAAACTTTTAAGTTTCGAGGATGAAACTTCTTTTAAGGATGGTAGAATGTAATACCCCATGTTTTTATTAATAAAATAGTAATAATAATAATAATATAATAATAATAATAAACTATAAATTAGTAGTAATAATATATATGTATATATATATATATATATTTTATGGTGATAGATAACAAACTATAATATTAATTTTATCTTTAATAAAATTATTTTGTGCGATATGAGTGCTATTGAAAAATAATTTTGATACTTTGTAATACTCTAGATTATTTATAATAAAATAATATTAATATGTGTGTATATATATATATATATATATATAAGATGATAAACTATGATTAATTGATTGATTGATGATTTATGCATTAATGTTTGATTGGTAATATTTGATTGGATTAGGATGAGTCAACAAACATAAATTGTTTAGATAGGATGAGTCAACAAACATAAATTGTTTAGATAGGATGAGTCAACAAACATAAATTGTTTAGATATGATGAGTCAGCATTGAGTCAGTAATGTGTAAGCCCTAAACTTCAACTATAAATAGAGGTCTAGCCTAACCAAACCAATTCACTCTTCAACATTTCTCCTCTATTATTCTCTCTTCTTAGTTCAAAAATTTAGTTTAATTTATTTTATATTCTTCTGATTACCAACCGGTTCTCTGCCCTAAATTACTCTTTTCTTCTAGAAGTTAGCGAAAACGGAGACCAGGTAATCCTAATCCTTAGGTTATAATTTTGTTTGAAGTTTATTAATAGTAATCCTAATCCCTATGTCTTATTAGGATATTTTATGAAATTTTGTGTATGTAATCCTAATCTCTAGGTGGTTGTAGATTTGTTGTGTATGAAATTTTATTGGGTATATCCTAATCTTTAGGTAGTTATATGTTTGATATATGTAATCCTAATCCCTAGAGAGTCATAGATTATATTGATATGAATTTTGGTATATGTAATTACTATTCGTAGGTTATTTCTTTTATATAAAACTTGGATGTAATCTGAATCCTTAGGTGTTTAGGTTATCTCTATTATATGAAATTTGGGCATAATCGTTATATGTAATCTGTAAATGTTCTTAATAGTTTGGTATGAACATTTCTATGTATATAGGTATTTGTTTTTTTTTTAAATTTAAATTACTACATATGATAATTATAATATTTTTGGAAAATTTTATTATTTTAGAAATTATGATCATGTGCAATATATGATATAAACTTTTATTTTAGAAATTATGATTATGTGCAATATATGATATAAAATGTTATTATTTAGAAATTATAATTATGTGCAATGTATGGTAAAAGATTTAATTCATGTCCAATATATGGATCTTATTGAATAATTATGAAAATTATGGAATTATACTATTCTTTAAGAAAATTTTTCAAATATGTGTTTTAATGATTAAATTTAAATATTTATATTATTAATAACTATGATAATTGATGTGATGGGATTATTTGAATGACGATGATTGGATTTTGATTTTTCTATGATGAATGTTGAAGATTTGAATTGTTATATAAATTCAAAAATTTATGATAATAGTTGTTTGATACTTTGAAAAATTATAATGCCCTTGAGTATGTTGAATGTCAATGTCTCTTGTTATCTCCTTTAAATATGGTTGTTAGTTGTTAGTTATTATTTAATTATTAGTCATTGGAAAGGTAAAATTCTTGATAATGATAATTACTTATACGCAACTTCAACAAAACAATCAGGACACCGACACACGCACCGCTTCGAGCTTAGCCGCAAAGGTAAACATAAAAATCAACCTGTGGGTGATTTTACTTAACGTTTATCAGACGCAAACGCAGGGATAATTCCGTCATTTCAAACATTCACGAAGTGGATCTACATGGCCCCATGACAAGAAACGTGGCGATTCGACGTTCATGTCCTCGTTTCACAAATTTACTCTTCCACTCGGAGTTGCTCCAAAGAGGTGTCAGATATTTTGGTGTGATCCCAGGGGTATTATTGTGATTTCAATTCTCGCGAACTGACTTGCTTAAAAGCGCGTCGAAGCTAAGCACCGTTTAAGTGCTTGCACAGAGAAGAAATAAGAAACCCTAATTTTGTTACTGCTCTTCTTATTCAAAGAAAACCCAATTCAGCCCCAAATTCGAGCGCTTTAAATTCAATTCCGGAATTAGGAACCCTAGTTATTCTTTTTATTTCTGGTGTTTTCGAAAGAGATTGCAAAACGCACATAGATTTTGAAGATGATCGTGAGCCAGAAGATGGTAGCGGAAGCGGAAATTATATGTCAGCAGAGCATTCCCATGTTGGACGTGAAGTATCACCTTTGCGTGGAACAAGAACACAACGTCAAGGTTGAGGTTTCACCCACCTCACCCTCTCCTTCTTTCCCGATCTTTGGCCAAGTACGGGTTTCCTCTGAATCCAATTTTACTCATACATCTCGCTTTTAATCCTTATGTCTTTTTTTTTTCTTTGAACTTTTGGGTTTGTAATTCAATTGAGATTCTTACTGTATGTATTGCTTGATTTGGTTAAAGAATTGGTTTTTCCTTTATCCTTTTTTATTATCCATCGGGGCTTAAATCGGTGGGTTTTTTTGGGTGATTGTGTATCAATCAGTCTGGATTTAGCTGTGAATTTTCCTTTGTTTATTTTCAATTCTGAATCGGGTTTTTTGAATTTGATATTTTTAGCTTGATAAATGTGGTGAAGATCCACTACTTCTAGTGTGTGCTGAGATTGCTTGCTGAAACTGATTTTTGGAACTAGAATTTGGAATTTGGTGTTTAATTATTTATTTCATTTATCATAGGTTCTATACTATATGCTATATACTATCACCTCTCCCCAACCCACAACACCAATAAAGAGGAAGAAAAAAATTGCTCAAAAATTTCCCCAGGTGAAATCTAGTGAAATAGCTAGCCATAACGTTAGGAAGTTCATTATTCCAACTTTGTGCTGGTAGGCCTTGTGAGCTTAGTGGTTTGTGTTTGTTTTTCCTTTTGTTTTAAAGCGTTGTGTTAGTGCTTGTTAGAGAAATTTTATAATGTAGCCTTCTTAAATTTTTGGGTTGAATTTGTTCTTTACCGGGTTGATGTGCTGACCATTATCTTATTATTTGTATGTTAGGCTGCGAGTTGCTCTGAGATCATTAAAGATTCCCTTTTGGAGACCCCTGCAATTAAGTTTATCCCGAATGTGCGTTCTGGTAGCTATGCTGCAATTGGACCGCGAGAATCTATGGATGATGAACACATTCGTATAGATGATTTAGCTGCCAACCTTGGTTTTGTGTTCAAATACCCAATGCCAAGTGCATTTTATGCCGTTTTTGATGGGCATGGGGGACCTGATGCAGCCTCTTTTGTTAAGAGGAATGCTATGAGATTATTTTTTGAAGATGCTGACTTGCTGCAATCATATGATACTGATGCATTTTTTCTAAAGAAATTGGAGGAGTCTCATCGGAGAGCTTTTTTACGGGCAGACCTTGCCTTGGCTGATGAACAAGATATTAGTAGTTCATGTGGCACTACAGCATTGACTGCTCTTGTACTCGGAAGGCATTTGCTGGTTGCCAATGCTGGTGACTGTCGAGCAGTCCTTTGCAGGAGAGGTACAGCTGTTAATATGTCTCAAGATCACAGGCCAAGTTATTTACCAGAACGCAAGAGAGTGGAGGAGTTAGGTGGCTTCATTGATGATGAATATCTCAATGGTTATCTTTCAGTAACTCGTGCCCTTGGGGATTGGGACATGAAATTTCCACTTGGTGCTGCATCACCCCTTATTGCTGAGCCAGATGTTCAACTGATTACATTGACAGAGGATGATGAGTTCTTAATCATTGGGTGTGATGGGATTTGGGATGTAATGTCTAGCCAAGTAGCAGTTAGCCTTGTTCGGCGTGGATTAAGAAGGCATGATGACCCACAGCAATGTGCCAGAGAACTAGTCAAGGAAGCCTTGCGCCTGAATACATCGGATAACCTTACTGCGATTGTCATATGCTTGTCCCCCATTGAAAACATTGTTGATTCATGTCCGCCCCAAAGGCGAAGATTCAAAGCCTGCAGTCTGTCTGAAGAGGCCCGTAATAGATTGAAGAGCTTGATAGAGGGAAATTGACTGTAAATGCAATTCTTGAGATTCATAAAAGTTCCTTTCATTAAAAGATTAATCTGTTTTTTGGGCTGTTTCAGATAGTTAGAAAAAGAAGCCAGCAGTTTTGTAGGGATAGAAAGGGATATTAGGTGAGAGGTAGAGAGGGTTTAGACCTATTTAATTGGGAGGTGTATTTCTGGGCTATGTTTTGGTATATTGTAGAGACAATTTTAGCTAATTTTGGCGGAGTAGATACACAGCCCCCCCATGGTGGGTTTTGATTTTATGTTGGTTTTGATTTTATGTTGCTTTAGACTTCTCGGCAATTCTCTGGGGGTGGCTGCATGCCTCCAGTTTCAAATTTTCTTCGTATATTTGCTTCAATGACGGTTAGTTTTAGACAACGCAAAGTTGAGTGGATGGATTATGCTTGGCCCATCCAATCACTGAAGCAACCTGGATGGCCCATACAAATTTTCTTCGTATATATTTTTTTCTTGCTTGAACGTTCTTTATTGTTCCTGGATCCTCCTAGTTTTATGGATGGATTATGCTTGGCCCATCCAATCACTGTAGGCCTATGTCATAGGACAATATGAACCTTCGGCAGCATAAAAACTAATCGCGTATCGTATGCGATGAATTTTTGTCCGTTATTACTTTCAGTTCATTTATTAAAAAGAGTCTGTGAATAGAAAGACTATTTTCAATCAGGTTTTATTAATCTCATGATAAAAGAAATAAATTATTTCATGTTATAGAAATAAACTTGTGGGCTCTATCACTTAAAAAAAAAAAATAAGAAAAATGAGGCATAGTTATTGAAGGGTGTATAGGAGAAAAAATTTATCTCATGTAATATAAGAATAATTTTTCTCTTTCAATAAATATATATTTTGGAGGGAGGGGTGTGAAAATATCAGTTGCCCCTGTCCAACCAAATATCCTGACCTTGGTAAGGTGTGTAAGGCCCTTATTTCATTATCTCAAAGTTTTAAACGTATGACTCGGGAGATTTGCTGCCATTGCATCATGCTCTGAGAAATAGGAAGCTTCTAACCACAACTTCAAGTATCAAATGCTTTGTGAGGCCCCTTCTCTCCACTTTTCAGATCCTAAATAAATAACAGATGTTTCTGCCCATAGAAGATTTTAAAAATTAGGAATTTCCCACAGATTGGAATCATTAAACTTTAATTTTGTAATCATTGTCCAAACTCCTTAGTATGTATTGAGTTTGCTAAATAGAAAACTTATTAAGCATTGAGGTTAACGGAGTAGATTATTTACATTTCCATCAAAACAGAATTGCTCCCCCGCCAAAGCTTTTAATGAATCTAAACCCAAGCATTGTTTTGCAAATATTGTGTTGTTCCTACTTTTTTTTTTTTTTTTTGAGTAATTAAGTATATGGCCCTCCAATTAACTCATCGTTGAAAACCTAAAATATTCCTTGAACAAGTTTTAAGGATACAACATTACCACTAAATAACACCCTGAGTTACCTATCTTGTTTTAAAATAAATTTAATACTAGAGAATTATGTTCATGGACTTAAAAAAAGATTTATTATTTGAAAAGACAATCGTGCCTATTTTGTTTAAAATTCTGTCTCTAAAATTATTTTTCAAAAAAACACAATATTATAGCCATTTATTTAATATCTTATACAAGTGGTTAGTATTTGGGAAGGTAACAGATTCAATTTGTCTGTCTCTAAACCAATTTTCCATGATTTGAATTATAGTTTAGTAAAAATACCTCATTTTTACTAGTAATTAGCAGGAGTGAAAAAAATATTAATAGAACTTTGAAATCTTACTTGTTTTAATTTTATTAAATAAATGTCGTTCGTCCAAAAAGTACAGCCATCACTCCACCACCACGTAGAGAATAAATTAAAGCGAACATTATCATAAAAGAACATCAACGGTTCAAAGCAAAAGTTGAATTTGCAAGCCAGAAAACGAAAAACAAAAAAAGAATAATAGAGGGCTAATAAGTGCATTAGCGGTGATCCAAGGGCTGAGATCAGATCGAATCAAGACATTAATTAATTAATTATTTTTTATAAATATATTTTTTATATATCTAAGAAAAGAGCGTTGTCTTGTCCTGTGTCTGTGTTGTGTTGTGTTGTGTTGTGTTAGGTCTTGAGAAAGAGAGTGGCGTTTGTTTAGGTGAAGAAGAAGAAGAAAAAGAAAAAGAAGAATGGCTATGGCAATTGCAAACTTGGCTCGACGGAAGGGTTACGTTGTTCTCTCATCGGAGACTCTCAGGTACTCTCTCTCCCTCTCCCTCTCCTCCTTCTCAAGGTCAAGGGGATTCGCTTCGGGATCTGACCAAAACGACGTCGTCGTCGTCGGTGGTGGCCCCGGCGGTTATGTCGCCGCCATTAAAGCCGCCCAGCTCGGTCTCAAGACCACTTGCATCGAGAAGCGCGGTGCTCTCGGCGGCACATGTCTCAACGTTGGATGCATCCCTTCCAAGGTCAATTTTTCATTCGCAATGTTATTGTTCCTTTTTTATGTTTATGGGATTGGGAATCACTTTTCTAGTTTCGTTTATAGTCTGTGTCATTTCTGGTTATTGTAGTTTGTTTTTTGCAAAGAGATAAGAAAATACAAAAAACAAAATTGTAAATTGTAAATTTTCACTATAATAATATCTTTTTTTTTTTTCTTTCGTGTTGGATTATTGTGAAGTAGAGGTTTAGAAGCCGTTGGGGAAAGACTGGCTTTTTGTTACTTCCAATTTTTGGACTGTGAGGTGAGGTGAAGTTATTTGGATGGGGAGTTGTAAGGAGAAAGTAGATGAGATGGAGAGAACTTTCTTATGAAAATGGGTTTTCTGTATTTCTCTTTTGATGTTTTTATCAGGATTCTTCTATCTCAGAATTCCGTGCATGTATTAGCACATTTTTTTTGTTTCTCCTGTCCTAATCTTGATCTGGGTTTTGCTTATTTTTCTCCTCCTTGTGTGAATGAGTTGATTTCATTTACTGGATCAAAATTAAGGTCTACGCACTAGTCTCAACCGGGTTATTATTACCTGGATGAGAGAAGCCTTACATTAAGCTTGCGAACTTTAATACACCAAGTTGCATTTCCTTCATTTTGATATGCTGCAGACTTTATTGTAACTTTTAGTCTGCCTTTTTTATTTCTAAATTTGTTGTATTAACCTCTTCCTTCATTTCACGTATTTTTAAATAAATGTGCTCCCTTGTATAAACTAAATGGACTTGCTGAAGAATTGATGTTTGACATAAAACAGTTGCGTCCTCTTGATCCATGTAGCCAACCCCTCCTAGTGGGAAAAGGCTTTGGTTGCTGTTGTTTTTGTGCTCCCATATATAGTTTGAAAATACTAGTGGATATGGTATTCTCTCTAACCCATGTACTCATGTATGGTGCCTCCATATTTTGGTTCAGGCACTTCTGCATTCTTCCCACATGTACCACGAGGCTAAACATTCATTTGCCAACCATGGGGTCAAGGTTTCATCTGTCGAGGTTGACTTGGCAGCCATGATGGGCCAAAAAGATAAAGCTGTTTCTAATCTTACCCGGGGAATTGAAGGTCTATTCAAGAAAAACAAGGTAACCTATGTCAAAGGATATGGCAAACTTGTTTCACCATCTGAAGTCTCTGTGGACACCCTTGAAGGTGGGAATACTGTTGTTCAAGGCAAGCATATTATAATCGCCACAGGTTCGGATGTGAAATCTCTACCTGGAGTCACCATTGATGAAAAGAAAATTGTATCATCGACCGGAGCTCTTGCTTTGTCTGAAATCCCTAAGAGACTCATAGTCATTGGGGCAGGCTACATTGGGCTAGAAATGGGCTCAGTATGGGGCCGACTTGGCTCCGAGGTAACAGTTGTTGAGTTTGCGCCAGATATTGTTCCAACCATGGACGCGGAAATCCGGAAGCAGTTTCAGCGTTCTCTTGAGAAGCAAGGCATGAAATTCATGCTGAAGACTAAGGTGATTGGAGTTGATACTTCTGGAGATGGTGTGAAGCTAACTGTTGAACCAGCGGCTGGTGGTGATCAAACCACACTTGAAACAGATGTTGTCCTTGTATCTGCTGGTAGGACTCCGTTCACTGCTGGACTCGGGTTAGACAAGATAGGAGTTGAAACTGACAAGGCAGGACGAATTTTGGTGAATGAAAGATTTTCTACTAATGTCTCTGGCGTTTATGCAATTGGAGATGTAATTCCAGGCCCAATGTTAGCACACAAGGCAGAAGAAGATGGGGTTGCTTGTGTAGAATACATAGCTGGTAAGGTTGGCCATGTGGACTATGACAAAGTTCCAGGTGTTGTGTATACAAACCCTGAGGTTGCATATGTTGGGAAGACAGAGGAGCAGGTGAAGGCACTTGGAGTTGAATACCGTGTTGGTAAGTTCCCTTTCCTGGCTAATAGCAGGGCTAAGGCAATCGATAATGCTGAAGGACTGGTCAAGATATTGGCTGAAAAGGAGACAGACAAAATATTGGGAGTACATATTATGGCACCCAATGCGGGAGAGCTCATTCATGAGGCAGCGATAGCATTGCAGTATGATGCATCAAGTGAGGACATAGCACGTGTGTGCCATGCACATCCAACAATGAGCGAGGCTATTAAAGAAGCCGCAATGGCTACTTATGACAAGCCCATTCACATTTGAACAGCCGGTTGCTTCTTTAATCTCGTTTTCATTTTTGTCCAAGAATTTTACAATGACTTGGAGAATGATACCTTCTTTGTGTGTTAAATTTAGATTCAGGTTTTTATATACAAGTTAGCTCTTTGCATAATAAGAGGAATGATTGTGTTGTTTTATCCTTGTTGAATAATATATATACCACCCCCTCTTTCAGGAGCAATATTGTGATGCTGACTGTTGGGTGAAAACAATTTAATCTTCTGCTCTTCTGACTAACACCTTGTTGAGTGGTCCATATAAATTATTTTCATCTATCCATTTCTTCTTCCCTTTGCATCAGTTGTCAATGAATCTCAAAGGAGTAATTGGAATGTCTCACTGAAATTTATGTAGACATAAATTTCAAAGGAAACTACTCACTTTGGTGGGACAAGAAAAACGCGACAGGAGTCATATATTGCATTAAATAATCTGCAATAGCATAAGTAGAGGATTAGTCTGTCAATAAGATTTCTTCTGGCTTGAAACTAGACCCAAGATTCAGTTGTTTTCCAAGAAAAGTGTGTCCTGGTATAACTTTAGAGACTGTTAAGGATTTATATCTCAACAACTTATCCAACAAAGGACAATGCCTATCTAAATAATATCTTGATAACATAGGATCAAGGAAGTACATTCCTATTAGGATTCTAAACTTACAAGTAATCCCTTTTATAAAGGGTTGAAGTCTCTCAGGCACATACTTCTAATAGGAATGTACTTCCTTGATCCTCCGTTATAGCATATTATTTAGCTAGGTCTTATCCTTTGTTGGATAAGTTGTTGAGATATGGATTTGATCCATAAGAAAGACATTCAAAACAAACCAATTCCATTAGTCCATGTAGACTAAATAATATTTTCTTTAATATGAACAATTTATTTTTCCTTTGACATTTATGTCTACATAATTCTTGGGGCGTTATTAAGTGTTTGGACTCCCCCGTTATTTTTTATATATTATCTTTTTTGTTTATTAGATTTTATACGTTGTCTTTGATGAAGGCATAATGTTGTAGCGTGTTATTTTAATAATAATAATTATTATTTATATTCTTAAGATTGCTTCATGAACTTATTCTATGTGGAAAAGTAATTTTAAAAAGGGAAAAGTTCAAAAATTCCGGTTTGCTCTATAATTATTTATTCTCTTATATTTTTTTCATAGCATTTATTTTTCCTCTACTTTTTTCTATTCAAGTCCAATGTTAACATCTTTAAATATTGGGTTTATCAGTTTATTTTACCCATATGAACAATAAAAAAACCAAGGGGGAGATAAGTGATTAAAAAAAATAAAAGCACAAGAGGGTATGTAATAAAAAATTAAGGCACAATGAATTTTTAGAACCTTTTCTTTATAACAATTAGAAAATTAAAACTTATATTACGAACAATGTAGAACAAACAAACTAATTGGATAGACCATTGTAAATAAAGATGTTTTGTTCAACATCATTCACGTATGCCTTTTATATGTGTATTTTATATTTATCGGATGATTGAATACATTATTTTTATATATGTTCGTAGTTACTCAATGAAAAATTATTATTGTCTTAATACTAACAGTTTAATTTTTTTTACTTATTGTTTAATAAATAAAAAAATTAAGAACTTTACAGTACCTAATTATTTTAAATAAAATGACTGTGTTATAGTAAGAGAGATTTGTCATAAAATAGAAGATCATCATGGAAAAAAAATGGGAAGTTATTGATGAAAAAAATTAATTTAAATATTAAGTGAAATACTACCTTTCACTTAAAATAACACAATATTTAATCCTTTAAAAGAATAAACACTTTTTTCATTCAACGTTTTGTAATTTTGTAGCTTGATTCTCCAAGGTGAAATCATCCTCAATAAGATTCGAAGTTGAAGGTGATATTATAAGAATAGGATGTGGAGATGAATATTGGGTTATCTTTTTCTACAATTAAAAAAAAAAATTGTGAATGATGGTTGTTTTTCATTTCCTCATTGTCTCTTTGATAAGAAGTAAATTGTAAAATAAAAAACGAAGAATGAAAATTGGAAAAAGAGAATGTATGAAATTATAGGTTATTATTATCTACTGAGAGAAGAAATTAGTTGTTAAAAGACTATTGTCCTACACGTCATCACAATTAATCGCCCAAATAAAAATGAACCACATAAAAAAATAAAAAAATAGAAAAAGTTGCATGATAAAACCCATAAAATTTTCTGTCTCATTTTGGACAGCTTCTTGTTCCTTAGACTCAAATATTTATTTTATTATAATATAAAAAAGTCAAATTGAAAAAGAAAAATGGAGCTTCCATTTGTCTCTGCTCGCTAGTGATCGAGTGTAGCGCAGCACAACATCGATTGGTAATGTAATTAGCAACAAAACATCACTAATCAAGTTGTTGGTGCTTGCTAATGCTATCCTCAATAGTGTTTAATTAATTTGTTGTATTTCATTGGTGCCCTTCGTGACGTTGAGGAAGCTCAACAAGAGTTTGAAGTCGGGATGGATAACGTTGCTTCTAGAATGCTAATGCTGCCAACCTTGCTTCAAGAATATGGTCACTTTCTGGATAACGTTGCTATGATACTTTTTTTATATTTCAATAGTTGAAAAAGAATTAGTTGCTACAGTTTTCTGTGCGTCCTTTTATTCAAATGTTATTAAAATCGGCCCGGTTATTGATCCGGTCGAGGTACTGGGTCACTGGTTCACTGGTCCAACTAGTGGGTCACTGGTTCATCCGCATGACCCTGTAATTATATGCAAATTTATAATTTATATTAAAAAAATTATAAACATATTCAAATATCTAAGCAAAAATGACAAAAAAATTCAAATATTTTAATATAAAAAATGATAAATCACGTATTATTATACAATAAAGAATCAAACAAAAGTATAATGATTGTGATACGGGGCTTTAGGTTCAGAAAATAACATCTCTAACTATAAATCAAATCAAAATTTTCTGCATAGTGCATAATTAAGATAATATTAGTGTTGTAGGTACATAAATTATGTAAGTCAATAAGCAAAAATATATATTTAACTATGTCCATTATGATTTATTTTTTTGAAAAACAAATTTGGAATTTTTTTTTGGACCGGGCCGGGACCGGTTTTCATGAAAACCGGCCGGGTCGGACCGAGTCGCACCGGTTCTGATGCATGACCGGTCCGTTGCTTGAACCGGACCGGTTTACCAGTTCACGGATCGACTCAGTCGGGTCGGTTCGGATTTAATAACACTGCTTTTATTAGAGCAATTTAATCTTTTGTTTGGCATTTTTAATCACTGTTTTATTACTTTCTAGTTACTTCGTATAATTCTTATTTAACTCATTTGCATATCTTACATTAAAAATAGAGAAATAATTATCTCATGTTGCATGAGATAATTATCTCATGCAACGGAAGTAAGATAGTGGGGTTCACTATTTTTTATTTTATTTTAAAAAATAGTGGACCCCACTATCTTGTCTCTGTTGCATGAGATAATTATCTGATGCAACATGAGATAAATAGATCCCTTAAAAATAAAATAATAAATTGATTTTTACATATTATATAGGCTATTTGTTAAAAATTCAATTCACCTTTCTTAAATTTTGAAACCATTTGTCCAATATAATACCTAATCGGCAATTTACTCTTACACCGATATAAGAATAAGAAATTTTATATTAAATTTTTACCATTGCTTGCATATAACGATTTGCATATCTAATAAATAAAAATCCTTAAACATAAATAATATCAATGGCCAATATTAAAAGTATAACTTATACCAATGTAAAATAATTTTGACTCATTATATATATATATATATATATATATATATATATATATATATATATATATATATATATATATAGGGCCAGGATATTCTTATACCGATATAAGAATAATAAATCTTCTACTTAATCTTAACCGTTGATTTTTCATATATGACAGTTATAATTTATTGAGAAATAATAATTACTTAATGAGAATAATTCAATTAATTACAGTCATTTGATGGACGAAAATCATCAGTTAAGATTGAGTGTAGATTTATTATTCTTACATTGGTATAAATTGTTCTATCTCATATATATATATATATATGACTTTAATATTTCTACAGTGAATGCATATAAATTATCTATATTCACTCCCAAAATAATGTCATTTTGGGTTGAAAGATTAAAATATAAATATAATAAAAACTATTATAACCTTGAAATAAATTATAATTACAAGCCCCAAAACGACGTCGTTTTGGGCTCATTGCAGATAACTTTCCTGCATTCGCTGCAGAAAAGCAAACTATATATATATATATATATATATATATATATATATATATATATATATATAAAGAGAGAGAGATGTTATACTTAAAATTTTTTTTCTGACCACCAATCTTGTTATCGTCAGATCAAAATCAAATCAATGACTCTCACTTGATATCATTTTATAATCGTTATATAATCTCCCTATATACGTGTGTGTGCGTGAGGTTATATTTACAACTATTTGTATGATTGTTGGATCAAAATCAAATAACGGCTCTCACTTAAAGTTATTTTGTAACTATTAACTTGATATCAAATAAGTTTTCTAAAAGTTTTACTCAATGTTAATAAAACTGGACCGGCCCGACCGGGTCAACTCGGAAATCGATAAATCGGTCATATAACCGGACCAGTTGAAGCAAAGGATCGGCCATGCATCATAACCGGTGCAACCCAAACGGTTTTCATGAAAACGGGTGACCCGGCTCGGTCCCAAAAAGAAAAATTCCAATTTTATTTAAAAAAAAAAAATCATAATGTATTTCAATATTTTTATGGTTATTGACTTACATAAGTTATGTACTTACAACACTAATATCATCTCAATTATGCACTATGCAGAAAATTTTAATTTGATTTATAGTTAGAGATGTTATTTACTGAACCTGAAGCCCGTATCACCATCATTATATTTTTGTTTGATCCTTTATTGCATAATAATATGTGAGCGGGAGTCGTTATTTGATTTTGATCCAACAACCATAAAAATAATTACAAAATAACATTAATTTAATAGTTACAAAATAACATTAAGTGGGAGCCGTTATTTGATTTTGATCCAATAATCATACAAATAGTTGTAAATATAACCCCCCACACACATATATAGGGAGATTATATAACCGTTGTAAAATGATATCAAGTGAGACTCATTGATTTGATTTTGATCCGACGATAACAAGATTGGTGGTCA